GAAGCGCGGTGAGCTTACATTTCGCGGCGCGCGTATCCACATCTTCCCAGATATGAGTGCCGAGCTGAGTCGTAGAAGAGCGGCATTTAACTCTGTGAAACTCAAGATTAAACAGGCTGGGATTTCCTACAGCGTTCACCATCCGGCGCCAAAAACACCAAACTTTCTTTCAAATTACCATCTGAGGCAGACGATTACTTTGAACGGCACATCAAACCAAAAATGGTCACATAGTTATTTCTGGATCATTCGTTGATCTCTGCCTCCAGCACGTCTGGTGCTTATTCTGGAAATAAACGGCAATACTTGTCCACTTTATTAGTTTATATATATATATATATATATATATATATATATATATATAAACTAATAATGTTATACTCGCTGTCATTGCTCACTTAAGTTATTTATTTTATTGTTTTTTTTTTTTATCCATCTCAACAGCGGGGACTTGGGATACATGGTTAAAGCCTAGAATGTCTTATGAATCTCTTTCAAAGACAAAAAAACAATTGCGTTAAATGTTATTTTTGAAGTTGAGCGTTTAGAAGTCCAATGCGTTTGGGAATGTTGAAGGTTAATTACATGTGTGATGCCTTCTCGCTTCTCATTCAGGAAGCTGTAGGGTGGGGGGGGGGGGTCAAAGTGTTTGTTTGTCATTCAAATTTATTCATGTATACATGTGCTATCGTGTTCAGTTGTTAGGTGAATTTCAGAAAAAGATTGATACATCAGTTTTTTTCTCATTAAAGGGGGGGAGTTGACTGCGATTTCACTTTTTTCATTTTAAATATTGTGTAATGTTGCTGTTGGTGCATGAACAGTATCTGCAAAGTAGCAGCGCTGAAAGTTCAATGTAAGCAGAGATATCGTCTTTTTAAAATCAGGAAGTATAATTGCCTACAAAAACGACTCGACTGGGACTAGAGCTGGTTTACGGTACGTCACTAACCCACACATTTGCATCAATCCTCCCTCCGGAATATACAGAAAAGGACATGCGCATATTTCAGCAGCTCCAGCTCGTCGAGTGAGTTGTTCATCCAGCTGTCAGGTCTTCTGTATTCGAACTTCCCACAGACGCTGTACTTCGTCAACAATGGATACAATTTATGTTTGATTATGTTCCTGAAAAGATGATCGTAATCTAGCTCTCTGTGCTGCGCATTTTACGGAAGATAGCTTCCAGAATCTCCACGAGTTCAACACCGGATTTAAAAAGAAACTGTTACTAAAACGTGAAGCAGTTTCAACTTTAAAACCAGAGGCAGCAGTTGTTGGGCCACAACCTGTAAGTAGGCTAAGACTTATACATTTTAAATGTATTTTTATGAATATTTCCAGACGTAGCCTTGTGTTTTATTTTTTTTTATTTTTTTTTGGCTTTATAGCCACTATAGGCTACTAGTAATGATATTGTGTCTACGACAAACATGTACAAACATTATGGACCTGAATTTTGTATAAGTACTAATGTTTAAACGTATTTTTCATGTGCTTTATGACGTTATTTTCGATTTGATCAAGAACGTAAACTAATGCCAACGCTGTTTGTGTTTAACATTATTAGCCAGTCAGTTGCTATTGTTGCCAGTCAGATGCTATTGTGTAAAACAAACGTGCATAAAGTTAGAAAATGTAGCAAATTATCATTCAGAAATGTTTAGTAAGAGCCGTGTGTGGTGTGGCGTTCTGTGTACTCTCTTCATCGCCGCTTTCTTGGTCTGATTCTGCCTCAAACTGATACTGCAGTTCGACACATATTTACATCTGGACCGGAGCTCACGTTTCGCCCGTAAAGGTAATGGGCGTTAACCTTCCGGACAATGTGAGCGACAGTTTAGCCAATCACAACACACAGGCCCAAACTAACCAATCAGAGCCCACTACGTGTTTCTGAGGGAGCGGTTTCATAGAATCAGGAAGTCAACCGCTCGTTCAGGGGACAGAGGAGAGCGTGGCTGACAATAAAGGTGAAGTTTATGAAAAATAAGACTTTAAAAAAAAGAAAAACCACGAATACATGTTATATTGCACCTCATAAACACAATAATCCAAAGAAAAAAAGCAGTAAACCCCCCCCCCCCCTTTAAATGCTGCAAAATCTGGGACATAGCAAATAGCAAATAACTTACAGTGAACTTTGTGAGTTGGAATGTAAAGGGGGTTAACCATTCTATAAAGCACAATAAGATCCTTACCCATTTAAAGAGGCTGGAGGCAAATATAGCATTCTCCAAGAAACCCACTTAATATCAACTGATCACTATAAACTTAAAAAATCTTGGGTGGGGCAAATTTATCATTCTGATTTCCAGTCAAAATCACGGGGGACTGCGATTGTTATTAATAAGAACACTCCGCTCTGCGTGAGTAATGTTAAAACTGATAGAAGAGGCAGATCTGTTATAATAACTGGTACATTATATAATGTTTTGTTTTAATCTCCTTATTTGTTTTCCCCTGTCTCAAATCAAGCCGTTCGACAGTGTGACATTACACGGTCACACACCCCTCCCACGGTTGTTGATTGACAGCACTATTTCAACACTGACCCGCCCTGACCGAGCTGTCATCATAGACTGTAGTCCGTCATTGTTGATACACTGGAGCAGAATGGCGTCTAAGCGATTGTGTTGTTCTGTTCTTGGGTGCAATAACAAACACAGAAATCATTCTGATGTTCCTAAATCTGAACCGCTGAAGACACAGTGGCTGAGTTTTGTTTACGAAGGGAATATTCCCCACGATCAACGTCAATACTTTCTTGTTTGCGCGAATCATTTTTCACCAGACTGCTTTATAAACGAGGGTCTTAACCCTATGAAGAAGATTTCGGAAGTTTTACCTTTCACTAAACATATTTAGATATATCGAAATCGTCTTCCATTGCGATTTTCCATATATCTAAATATGTTTAGTGAAAGGTGAAACTTCCGAAATCTCCGTGTAAACATTGCGTGACGTAGACGCGCGAGAGATCACTTCCGGCGTAACGTCTGGAGACGGTTCAGTTCGGTTCAGTTGGACATCTGATTCAGATCAGTTCGACGGCTGTTAACAAGAGGTAAAAAACGATATAAATACTGTTCATTTTCTCACACAAACCGCTCGTTTCGTGTCTTAGGCCATCAGTGTGTACTTACATTGACGAGTCATTAAATCATGTTTAATTTTGACTTCTCTGTGCATGCTCTTTGAGGTGAACCAAGGGAGGACCCCCTTAACCTCCAGTGTATGACTGACAGACAACAACGGTTTGACCAAAAAATGTCAAAATTGAAAATTCTGTGGAAACAAAGACACCTCTTGGATGCCCTTGAGGTAAGCTAAAACATATCAAAAATGAATTTCAAAAGTAAACTATCCCTTTAACTTAAAGGGCCCCGGGCCTAAGTTCACTGTCATGTGACGACGTCCTTTTATAACATATCTCCAAAAACAATTATAACTGTAACTGGACGAATTGATGCTGTCATCAGGTTTTGCCTATGATCTACTGATGTTATTTATTCTTTTTATCATATATATATATATATATTAGGGGTGTGCAAAGCAGCCGCTATTTGTATTTGTATTTGTATTTGTTCAGGGAGGAAAAGTATTTGTATTTGTATTTGTATTCGAGTAAAATTCAAAATAGGCATAAAAATCTTTAAAAATACTTTATAGTGTATGGATTCTTTAATTATATCCATTATAATAATTATGGATATGCAATATTGGTTGATTGTTTCTATAAATCCAGCAATGAACATGTAACAAGTCATTGAAAAGAAAATAACAGTCAGCCATTACCTCATGAACCATGGTTAAACCAACAACTAATAAAATACAATTGTGAACATTATGAACCCCAACACCACGGTGGAGGACGCTGTGCAGACAGAATAAGTTATATGGATAATTTATAGTGAGGAGGTTGATTATGAGCCCGACGCGAAGCCTGAAGGGTTTTCGCTATAACTACGCCTTGCTCTACATTACGCTTATTACATGGCTACCTACCAAATAAATCAATAATTTGACTCAAAATATGGATATAAAAAGGAGTTTATTGATTTAAAAAACGATTGTATCGCTCCCGCTAAAAAAAGAAAAATAGTCCGTTCTGTCTCTACGTTTAGAATCCATGGCAACGCTCTGTTTTTCATAGCAACGGTGTGTTATACTTATAAGCAGCGGCCTGTTATAATAACAGACCGCACTCTGCATTAGAATTCAACCAAGCCATATAAGAAACAAATAATTACCGTTACCAAGCTAACAGAGCTACCTAAACAGAGCGAACATGAGAGCACCCGTCTGCAGACGTCAATAATGGAATATACTCCCGATCAAACTCCGCTTCCCGAAAGTTATAAACTGCCTCCGGAACCTAGTTAAGGTACAAACATCTATTCAACAAAAATAGTGATGCAGTTAAGTGTTTTTTCGCTCAGCCGAGCCCTCTCTGTTGCTGTGTGGAGCAGCCTGTGTCAGTCACCTCTTCCTGAACGTCACTCACTCAACTCGCGCACTGCGGTCTCGTGAGGAACGCAGCCTTTTGATATAAAGTATTTCTTGTTCCCGAATACAAATATTTTTTTAAGTATTTGTTCGGAATAAGTATTCGTAAAAAACACATTATTTGTACCTTTCCGAATACCGTATTCGGATTCGGCTCCACCCCTAGTATATATATATATATATATATATATATATATATATATATATGTATATGTTGGCTGTGTTATGTGAATGTGAGTTGATTGTTGTGTCAATAAATAAATAAATAAATAAAAATTATTATTGAGAGTTTATTTAAAAATGATTAGAAAAAGCCTAAAGACTGTGTGTCAGTATTAATTTGTTCATTTAAAAAAAATATATATATATACAAACCAGTACAGGTTTGTTGTGCATCACAAACCTTCAACAGAATAGGTATTTGGTATTGTGATAACTGCATGTGTGTGATGAGTACTAAGGTAAGTACAGCTGGCATGGTCCTGCATTACCTGGAACAGCTAGAAAACCAGTTCCCGGTTCCAAGCCCAGAATGTCAGCAGGTCTTTCAACTGTATGAGAGCAGAGAAAGAAACATAAGGTAGTCAAGAAGAGCTTGACATCAATGGGAGTCATTAAATGCTAAGCATTGCGTGAATAGAAGAAGCACACAGACACTGCCATGCAGCTCAGCAGGGATTCTGAGGTAAGTGGAGGGATGTGATTGAAAGAGCACATCGTACTGGAGTGTTTCATCTTAATAGGAGTTCCCTGCTGATTCTAGAGACCAATTTGACTCCCTCTAGATATACTGAGCATGTGCTGACATTTAGCAAAAGAGGCCAGGAATGGTAACGAAATAAAGAGAGGGACTGGCACTCTCACACGTACGGAACAAGAAGCAAAGATGCCACTATTAAGGGGATTTGCAGTGGATTAGGGACTTGGGGGATTTGCAGTGATTCATTTTTGCTATGCTAGTTCAAGTCAATCAAATTTCCTTAAGAGTGGAACATCAGATTAGGGCTGATGGTACACCTACCGGGAGGTGGAGGAGCAGGTTCTGCAGCCTCCAGGTCGGGAATAAGACTCTCAGTAGCAGAAATCATAGGTTCAACAGGTTCTGCAAACAGCAAAAACACTTTGGCTAAATCCACACAAAATTTAGCTCCATTTGAAAACACTTTCTTTTTGTAAGAAACTCTCCTAAGTGGATAAATCGGAAAACGGTATTTGAAATGGATGAAGCATGTTTAGTCATGCATATTGCACAGATAGATATCTCTGTTTACACTGGTTTGTGACTGCTCTGCTCTGTGCTATTCATTTTCACAGTGTTGTTAAAGATAAATGTTACTTTGTACAATCTTCATTACATTCTTGCAAAGATTACAGAAAATGTACTATACAAAACACAAGAGCAATTGCATTTTAGACCATAGAATGGCGACTGAGTGCAAACTGGATGCACCAGTAAATGGTTGGATATTTTGCTAATAAAATGATTGTGCCGAAATAACACCATAACAATGTGTTATGTTTGGTCTGTCTGTATCATCGGTAAGATTTTCTTACGTTTTACACATGCACAGTAACAAGATTTTGGCATTTTTAGACATTTCAGTGTGTAGGCCTACAAAAAAACTTTTGGAAAATGTGGAAGGAGAGCATTTTTGGATGAATCTATCAGAAGGCTAATTTAGATGTAGCCTTTAAAACATTGATAAATGCATTCTGCAAAGTGTGTGAACAAGCAAAGTTACCATCAGCTAGCTTGGTGAAGTCTTTGTTGAGCAGATCCTCAGCCGTGAGTTTGGAGAAATTGTCGTCTCCGAAGGGATTCCAGGTAGGCTGGACCGGGGGGCTTGTCAGGCTAGCGGCTGAAGCAGGAGCTTGGGGGACAGAAACGCTGCCTTGCTGGGCAGGTTGGTACACACTCTGCTGGGAGGACTGGGGAGAGTTGGAAGGGGTGGCACTGGCTGACCTAATTGTGCCCGAACAATGAAAGAAGTGTTCATATGTTAGTTCAAGTAGGTTTGATGGTGTCAGAACACTTCTTCTTGATTATGTAGGCTGTATAATGGCAGTGTCACATTCCATTCTATATTTATAGGTTTGATTTCTCACTTTGACTTGTTAAGGCTGGCTTCTGCTGTGGCCGCCTGCAGCTGCTGAGTGGACTGGCTGACAGGCACTCCGAACATAGCACTGTGTGTGACATCACTCTGGATGCGCCTGTGCCCCGCCTTCTGGGCCGTCCTCGGGGACGATGGAGGAGTCTGAGACAGGCCAGGGACCACAGGCTGAGGAGAAAAAAAAACAAGAGGATGAAGCAACTAAGAACTCATAAAATACAGATAAATTAGAGTGTGACATGCAAATTAAATTGAAATACAGCGAAATGGTTAACAAGTTAAAAACAAAATGAAAAGGTGATTGATCAAGTGTCAGTGAATACAGATATAAAAGAAAAATACAAACAGATGACATCCAAAATGACTTATATATAGAAAGATAAATAAAATTCAGACAGGTAGTAAATATTGGCATATCAGACTCAAAATAATTTGTAGTAGTAGAAAAAAAGATATTTGATAAACCCAATCTGAAAACACATCTCTTTCTGGTTTGGAAATTTAAAAATTTACTCATTTACATGTTCCATTAGAGCTATACTACCATTCAAAAGGTTGTCTGTAAGACTTTTTCTTCTTTTTTTTTTTTTTTTTAACAAACTTAATACTTTTATTCAGCAAGGATGCATTAGATTGACCAAAAGTGACAGTAAAGACATTTTAAGGTCACAAAAGATTTTAAATAAATGTTGTTCCTTTAAACTTTTATTCGCCAAAGAATCCTAGAAAAAGTATCAGTTTTCACAACAACAATTTTAAGCAGCAACTGATTTCAACTTTGATAATAAATGTTTCTTAAGAACAAACTCAGCATATAAGAATGATTTCTGAAGGATCATGAGAAGGAGAAATGGCTTTTGAAAATTCAGCTTAGGCATCAGAGGAATAAATTACATTTATATATATTTACTACACTGTCTGAACAAATGGCTGATTTCATCATTCATTTTCATTACAAACAAATCAGATTTGAATGCAGAGTAAATGAAGCATAAACACCATTTAATTTTAACTTCAACAAAACGTATTGTTTTAACAAAAAACATCGCAGTCTTCAGACACTTAAGAGCAAATAAAACAAAATGAACAAACATCTGTCACAGAAACAATCAAAACCATCTACGCTGATCCAAAATAAACCAGGGATGAATGCATGCAAAACAATGGATGACGAATGAGGTGCTTCAACAGTGAGAGGGAGTCTGCCAGCTCTTTGACAAGACAGGACAGAGCAGCATGCACAGGATGGAGGTATTACCCTCTCCTCTGCATTCTCTGGGCTCATCTGGGATTGAGGTGCTGGCTGCTGGACAGTGGGCTCTGTCTGGGCTGGAAGCGGGGCACCAGCTGGCTGAGTGGTAGTGGGCTGGACGGGCATGGGCTGCTGCTGAGCCGCTGGCGTCTGCTTACGACGGGCGCTGCGCGCCGGTGCGGTGGGCGGCGCAGGGCTGGATGGAGGAGGAGTGGCTACAGCTTTCGGAGGCGCAGGGTGACTCGCTGCTACTGGAACGCCCCCTCCTCCTGCTGCAGCCGCTGCTATGATGGAGATCGGCTGCACGGGCTGGCACAAAGACATGCACCAGACAACTATACCATCATGCAAACTATAAATGTGACCTTCACACCCCCAGACTGTAGGTTTCATTTAATGCATGCAATCTACTGGATGGAATAGTCATTGAAAAGAATTAAATTGTGAGATGCCAAGAAAAGACGTCATAGAGCTGACTCTTATTTCTTTTTATCTAAACTTCACTACTCTCCACTGCTTTCGTAGGACTTCAAACAAATATGTAGATGAGAAAACACAAGCAATAAGATTGGCATCTCTGCCATCTCTCACACAATAGTGTGAGTTTGAGGCAGGGCTATGTGTTTGTCCTACCAATGCAAGATGAAAAAGTTCACAAAACCTTTTGGAAATCAGACATTTTTGCAGTCATACTTGGTGACATTAGATGCACAGAAATTACACATTCTTCCATGGAATTAAATGCAATAAAGTTCAAATAGAAAAATATTACATAGCTATTGTTCTCCATTCCTTCAAACCTGCTTTCTTGTTATTTGTAACAATGACATACTAATTTATAACATTCTTTTATAAATGTATTATGCAATTAAAAAGAGCTGTGCATTGTGGGATTGTATTAGTGAAGTGAAATATAGACAAAGTAAAAACACTCACCGTTTTATGCTGAGGGGCAGGAGATGCCAGGGCTTTTTGAGACTGAAGAGCTGCCGCTGGCTGAGCCAAGTTCACACTGACAGCTAGAAAACAAAGAGAACAATTGTGTGGAGTTATTGGATGGATTTGGTGCATTTTGAAACACATTGGGGCCAAAAAGTATTTAGTCAGCCACTGATGGTGCAAGTTCTCCTACTTAGAATAATGAGAGAGGTCTGTAATTTTCATCGTAAGGTACACTTTAACTATGAGAGACAAAATGAAAAAAAAATAAATAAAAATCCAGGAAATCACATTGTAGGATTTTTACCCTTCAAATGGTCTTCGTTTCCTGTTTACACTTCTGGGCTTCGGGGTCTATACGACCCCAACAATTGACTGAGTAATTGTACAAAAAAATATACATTCTTAATAATAGAAATAATATATCCTTTTTTTTGTTTACTTCTCATCTATTCATTAATGCTGTGTTTTTGGAGATTTTTTTTATGATACAATGCATTTATGCTCTAGTTCTAGGCCTTCAGATCTGTGTAAAAAAATTCAGATTTATGCCGTATTCGTTTTTTTGACACATGAAGAAAATATATTTAGTTTTTTTTCACATTTCCCATTCATCTCAATGTGGTTCAATATTGACCCCGAAGACCAGAAATGTAAACATTTGTTTTACATACCTTCAGAAAAACCGAATCAAGCCCATTTTTTGTGTATAGATAGATAATGTATGAAAAGTCACAAAATCTTATTCCACTGAGATGAAGGGAAAATTCTATTATTAGGTAAAATTCGATTGTGGTCGTATAGATAGACCCCATGACCCGATTGAGGGTTAAAGAATTTATTTGTAAATTATGGTGGAAAATAAGTATTTGGTCAATAACAAAAGTTCAACTCAATACTTTGTAACATAACCTCTGTTGGAAATGACAGAGGTCAAATGTTTCCTGCAAGTCTTCACCAGGTTTGCACACACTGTAGCTGGTATTTTGGCCCATTCATCCATGCAGATCTCCTCTAGAGCGGTGATGTTTCGGGGCTGTCGCTGGGCAACACAGACTTTCAACTCCCTCCACAAATTTTCTATGGGGTTGAGGTCTGGAGACTGGCTAGGCCACTCCAGGACCTTGAAATGGTTTTTACGGAGCCACTCCTTCGTTGCCCGGGCGGTGTGTTTAGGATCATTGACATTGTCATGCTGGAAGATCCAGCCATGTTTCATCTTCAAGGCTCTCACTGATGGAAGGAGGTTTTGGCTTAAAGGGCACCTATTATGGAGAACACTTTTACATGGTGTTTTAACATAAATGTGAGTTGGCAGTGTATGAGCAAAACCACCCAAGAATGATAAAAATCCACCCAGTGTTTTTTTTACAATCTCAATAAATCATATGCACTGTCTCAGAACGAGTTGTTCTAAGATTCAGTGCTTTGTGATGTAGAATTGAGCGAGAGGTTTGATTGACAGTGTGGTTGTGGCATAGACTTCGCCCTCGGTGATCTGTACACCATCCTCCATTGTTTCCACGACAGCCGGTAATGTCTCTTGGAAACATAAATGTTCTGTCATGGGTTAATCCTGTTGTTGTGGCTTAAAAGAGCATTTCACCCATTGCAACATTAGTCTTTATTGAAAGTGGATCATATATGTAGTCGAAATGTAAAATAATTTTTTTATTTGGTGCCCTCTTGACCGAGAAAAGAGAGAAAATAACCAAGGGGCACATTTGTATTAAAAGACTACAGGTCCCACAATGCACCGCATTGCACAGCTCCAGAAGCCACACCCACTAATCCAGAACAGCGCAAACAGAGAATTCACTCTTCCATCTACAAGGCTAACATTAGCTGTCACCGGAGTTTGAAATTCATTTCACACAAAATGTCTAGTTGGCTGTGGCGTGCAGGACGATCGAGGGCGAGGACAGCGCGTTGCGCGAGGCCGGTGGCGTGAGTGATAACAAAGACTATTTGGTGGTAATGAACACAAACGTCCGTGTGCTCGTCTGATTCAGAGATTTCCTCAAGTAGAAATTGCCATCGTTGAAATTCTCTGCAGCAAACGGACTTTGTGTCCGTAGGCCGTAGCACGCAGCGAGAGTACAGTACCCAGTCCGGGCTTCTCGACCAACAGGCAGCCGCCTCCTGCTCCTCCATCAGCCTCAGCTGCTCTTCACTATACTGCGACTCGTAAAGATAGCCACGAACATCGGATCCGAGCAGCAGAACTTGAAAATCCTCTTTTTCCATATCATGTTTAGTTTCTTCCGTCATTGTCATAAATTACTATCTCCAAAGTGCTTGTTAGCTTAGCTTCCAAACAAGATGGCGGATATTGATTTCAGTTTCTGCAAGTGAAGTCCCACCCACTGATCTGTTATAGGCCTGTTGGGTGAGTGGGTCCCACACCCTGGAATAATGATGTTTGTAGTCTAAAAGAATTTAATGAAATACGACTTCCTGCTTATCGTGACGCAAAATGACGATTTTTACGTCACGATAAGCAGGAAGTAATACACTTAAATCCTTATTTCTCCCATCTCAGGGGAAAATAAGGGAATAAACCATGACCATTGAAAAATATGACTGGGTTTCTAAAGATACAAAGCTTAATGCAAATGGGTGAAGTGACCCTTTAAAAGTTAATCCTCATGTGTGGATCGTCGTCTACTTTTTGCGATCAACCGTCACCTCCAGTAAGTGTATTTTATGATTTTTGAGCAAATAGTCTTTTCAGTCGATTTCAGCCAATTCAACAACAAATGCGTCTAAACTTGTTGTCGTCGTAGGATGTCTGTGTATTACGGTGGCCGAGAGAGTTCAACGTGTTGCAACCTAAAGAAGACGCATGCAAATACAAAAAAACGTGTGCAAATATAAAAAAGCATGCAAATACAAAAAAACATCCGCAAATTAAGAAAAACATCTTCATCAGTTCCACAACACACGTGTGCTCCAAGTACTCACAACACAACCAAATACACAAAACGCGCTGCAAAACCACACAACACAACCAAATACAGAAACGCTGCAAGTAACACAGAGCACAACGGAAATGTTTCCGGGGAACCAAATAAGTGACCGACCCAACTGGGACTTGCTTATTGCTCGTGAGCTTCCCTATGCTCTACTCCCTTCAAAGGGCAGACGGCAAAGCTCTTCAAGTGGGAATTTGGCGAGAGCATGACACTAGTGTGTCATTTATGTAGCCATTTGGAACTTGATGAAGGGAGCAACAACAGACAACGTAATGTAATTATTTTTACCTAGGATGTTCCTATGACAACGCAGCACTTTGTCCATCAGCTGTATAGCTGTTCTGACGACAGAAATATAATGATTAACATAACGGTTGCAAATAAATTATTTATTTTTTATTTTTACTTTATAAAAATCTGTTAAAATATCCGTTTTATATATCTGTATGGCAGTGCCATACATTACCTAATATTTTTAGGAAACTTTTCTTATGAAAATTTAAACATAAAATGAAACTATTTGTATAGTGTAACTGATGTATAGATTAATATCTTGCCTTCATGTTCTTCTAGATCTTTTTTTATTTATTTAGTTTAGTTTTCAGATCATTGTTCTTTTCTCATTTGTATTGTGATGACATTGAACATATTGTTAACACATGTTGTATATTGTACACAAGTTGTATGTCATAATAATTTGAATCTCTGTGTTTTGCGGGGGAAAAGTCAAAAGAAATTAAATAAGTAGAATTTTGAGTAAGCAAGGAGTATAGACGAACTATATAAAAAATAATATTATAATATTATTTATATATACAATATTATTTTAATAGTATAGTTTATTTATAAAAAAAAAAATAGGCTTTGACTTCTTGTCAATAAAGGTTTTTTGCTGTAAGCACGTCCTGTGTATGCTATGACCACATCCCAGTCGGGTCCGTCACTTATTTGGTTCCCCGGAAACGTATCCGTTGTGGACCGTGTTATTGGCAGCGCGTTTCTGTATTTGGTGGTGTTGTGAACGTTTTCAGCGCGTTTCTGTATTTGGTTGTGTTGTGAGTACTTGGAGCACACGTGTGTTGTGGAACTGATGAAGATGTTTTTCTTAATTTGCGGATGTTTTTTTTTTTTTGTATTTGCATGCGTCTTTATCAGGTTGCAGCGCGATGAGCTCTCTCGGCCACCGTAGTGTATATAATTTAAACCTTATTTGTATAGTGTGTAACCACATGTTTATAAATATATATATGAAGAGTTCAGATGCAAAAGCCTCTAAATGCCATTTGAAAGTTTCTTCTTTAATGATGATTTTTATCAAACTTGTATATTTAAGTTCAGTAATTTCACTTAAATAACAATTAATAGGTAATTATCATTGCCATTTAAGTGAAATTACTGAACTTAAATATACAAGTTTGATAAAAAATCATCATTAAAGAAGAAAATTTCAAATGGCATTTAGAGGCTTTTGCATCTGAACTCTTCATATATATATATATATATATATATTTAAAGACATTGTATTAAAAACTGCATATATGTTGTTGTTCTGTAAGTTAGACATCTTCTCACATTTGCTACAGAAGCACCTATATGACAAGTAAACAAGACGCAACAGGTCCCTCGCATAAATGTAATTTCGCTTGTACGTAGCAAACTTTATCACAGTACGTGTATGTAGTTTCAAAAAATTGCACCAGCCTTAGTGTTTGTGTGTGTCTGTTTGTGTGTTTTGCACATCCATAATTGCAAAAGGGATGCGATTACAACTCTATAAGTACATAAATGTAATAAACAACCATAATCATGCCATAGGTATTAAGTTACGCCCTAATCCAAAGGCAGGGTGGGGATATGCAGCTCATTTACATTTAAGGTCGTATACACCAAAACAGCTCATTTTTAAACAGGCCCCAAAAATGACATTTTCAAAAAATGTTATAATAATAAATTAACTGTGGGGTATTTTGAGCTGAAACTTCACAAATACATTCTGGGGACACCCGAGACCAATATTACATCTTGTAAAAAGGGTCATAATAGGTGCCCTTTAAAATCTCACAATACATGGCCCTGTTCATTCTTCCCTCAACACAGTTCAGTTTTCCTGTCCCCTTCGCAGAAAAACAGCCCCAAAGCATGATGTTTCCTCCCCCATGCTTCACAGTAGGAGTGGTGTTCTTGAGATGCAACTCTGCATTTCTTCTTCCCCCATACACGACGAGTTGAGTTTACCATAAAATCCTATTTTGGTTTCATCTGATATTCTCCCAATCCTCTTCTGGATAATCCATATGCTCTCCGGCAAAATGAGATCTTGCATGGAGCCCCAGATAGAGGGAGATTATCAGTGGTCTTGTATGTCTTCCATTTTCTTATAATTGCTCCCACAGTTGATTTTTTCACACCAAGCTGCTTGCCTATTGTAGATTCACTCTTCCCAGCCAATACGTGCAGGTCTACAATTTTCTTCCTGGTCCCCTTCAACAGCTCTTTGGTTTTGGCCATGGTTGAGTTTGGAGTGTGACTGTTTGAGGCTGTGGACAGGTGTCTTGTATACCGATAACGGGTTCAAACAGGTGTCAATAATACAGGTAACGAGTGGAGGACAGAAGAGCTTCTTAAAGAAGAAGTTACAGGTCTGTGAGAGCCAGAAATCTTGCTGGTTTGTGGGTAACCAAATACTTATTTTCTTTTTTCTTTTTTAGAAGTATTTTTATTAGGATTTTAAATTTTACAAAAAAGTGAAAGAGAACAAAATGCATTTAGATGTATACAACTCCATAATTTACAAATAAATTCTTTAAAAATCCTACAATGTGATTTCCTGGATTATTATTATTTTTTTTTTTTACATTTTGTCTCTCATAGTTGAAGTGTAACTATGATGAAAATTACAGACCTCTCTCATTATTCTAAGTAGGAGAACTTGCACAATCAGTTGCTGACTATATACTTTTTGGCCCCACTGTATATCAATATATGTATTTTGATATTTCTATAAAGATAATGATAAAATGTTATGTTAATTAATAATGACACTAATATTTTACTAATATTAATATTTTTACTTAATACTAATATTTGTTGTGTTTATTATAAATTTGTTAATAACAAAAATATATATCATAAATACTAATGTTGCCATTGTTTTTTTTTACTAAATCCTCAAAATGTAATTATTTTCTCTGCTTCTGTTGGCTATATCTAAACACTACACAACAATAGCACTTCTCAACATCACCCAGCTCAACATTCTCCTTCACATTCTGAATAGTAAGTATTTCATGAATGGGATTTTGTGTTCATGTTAAAACTACAGTTTGCCTTAAGCTTATTTTGTGCTAATACACAAGGAACTGTAATCAATATTTCATCATATTTGTACCTATTGGCTGGGCGGCTCCGGCGGGTAAGTTGGCTCTCTTGCGTGGGGTCAGGGCAGCAGGCTGGATGGGCAGGATGCCTCCTAGTGCCTGAGACTGGGACTGTGCTGCTTTGGGCCGCTGGCGTGGGGTGATGGAAGTTTCAGTGGTGGGAATGGGGTCTGTAAGTCTACGGGACAAAAACAGACAAATGAGACCAGTTCAAATTCACAGACCATAAAGCACTATGAAGCCTCTGGACACGTACCTCGCCTTAGTCTGTGTTTGGCTCTTCTTCACGGCTGCTTCGCTCGCTCTGATTGGCTCAGGAAGTTTAGCAGGAATGGGAGAATTCTAGGGGGACATATTTCAGATTAGTTTTGTTTTTATGATTTCAGGCATTTCTGCAGGCTGACGCACACAAGCACCCAATCCAACAACTGATCCCAGAGGTAAAAGTGCTGACCCAACAACAGGTTGAGAGTAACCCTGGAGGAGAGGAAGGAAAGAGACTAACCTTAACGTTTTGGACAGGGCAGTCCCGCCGGCCCAGTTTGAAAGCAAAATAGGACACCTGATAAATGTCAGGCCTCTTTTCAGGGTCTGGTTCCAGCATGTACCCTGATAAAATCACCACCACAAAGAGAGGTAAAGAGGAGGGAGAGTGGGAGGAAGAGAGAGAGTGTCACATGGTGACAAAGGGAAAAAAAAGAGGATGATCGGTATAAGCGTTAATAAATAGAATAAGTTGAAGGAATAGAACATCCAAAATTTAGAAAGTCCTCATCATTTACTCACTATCAAGTTGTTCAAAACCCATTTGTACATCTATAAAACACAAAAGGAGTAGTTTTTTTCCCATACCAATCTTTTTCATGTTATGGGCAGTAAAGATCCTAAATGACTCAAAGTATGTGACTGATTTGTGTGAGCAACAGACTGACATTTAAATTGAAAATGTAAATCAAATTGAAACCCAAAATTTTAACTCATCATTTACTCATGAACATGTTGTTCCAAACCAAGTCAATGGGAAACCGAAACTGTAAAAAAAAAAATATTTTATGTTTATTAGAAGAAAAAAAAGTCATACAGGTTTGGAACGACATGAGGGGGAGTAAATGAACTTTTCCTGACCTGTATTAAAATTTTCACTTCATTAAAGCTCTAAAATGGACTCTCTTATGCTACGGTCACACTTTGTCCAAATTTGATTATCTGTTCCCAATTGGAATATGATCTAAAATTATTGACATCCACATTGTGTATAGCAACCTTTCAGATCCGATTAATGTCTATGCCACTCTTGCGTATTCCGGAATATCTGCATCTGTTGCTATGGCAATACCATTGCATTGCAAGGCATACGCCAAAAATAAAAACAACACCATCACTCGAAACATAGAGGACTTTGCAATACAGATGTTGTCTTATTTAACATGACAATGTGCGTCTTCTGGGGCAGAGGCAGAAACGTAGGAGGCTGGTTTGTGCCGCTTTATTTTATGCCGTTGTCTCCACCGGTCTCAAAACATGTCTCCTTAATATTGTTATTTTCTGCTCGTCCAGCACTTTGCAACAACATAACCTTGTTTCTGCAGCAACTTTCAGCATGTTCCTATAACAACGTCTGATGCTTACATTTTACGAAGCTTGAAAAAGTCACATAAACTACGCAAAATCTGATTTGATAATTCAGAATGAAACGGATTTCCAGATATACGCATGTAGCTTGTAATACATGTAATACACATATGCATGTAGCTCGAAATGGTTATATAAAAATTCCATTTCTTGTGATTTTTTGCCGTTCACACTTGCTAAATCTGATCTGATTTGGACTGACAGTCTGAACGTAGCCATATAGACAATAAAATGGCATGTTGACACCACTGAAAAGCCAAACACTATCATTTTCCCCCTCAGTAGCGGTTCTAGGCACGGGCGAACCGGGCAGTCGCCCGGGGCGGCATTTCTTCATGTCACATGGGGGGCGGCACGAGCAGTTAAAAAAATCCTCTGTGCCTCGAAGGTTTTCTATTTTTTTACCATTTCGATTCAATTATTGGCAATGGCGCCCCTAATTGCTGAGAAGGTGCCGTGCACAGAAGCGATGTCAAGGGGGTCTCTTGATTAGTTCACGTATCGCGTCTTTTGCGCGCTCGAGGTCGTTATTTCAAATAGTCGATTAGGTGCACGGGAAGAGCGCTCATTATGCGCTAAACTTTTCAGTATGGGAGTGCTCGTGCACCCAAACACTTGGGTGTTTTTTCTCTTCTCCATAAAAAAATCTTTTAGCAGAGCTTCAGCAAGCGTTTTTCTGTGGTGGAAATACATTAGCTACTAAAACTTCTTTGTCATTGTGGAGAGCTTAGTGCATGGTTGTATAGCAACGACAGCCATGGGCAAATCGGTCCGAATTTTACTATTAATAATAAAAGATAAGCTACTGTGCATTATAAATGTCAGGAATGTATCTTTATTGACTCATTCTTTATATAGAGATGATTGAATGCTGAAATATGAGGTATATATTTTTATAAAATCTCTTTTTGTGTTAACCTTTTTTTAAGTTTAGTAGGTAAGATAAAAGACTCTCCTTTAAAACAAATCTTTAATGTTATTAACTTGGTGAATTGATTGTGTATTAGGCTTTTTGTGTATGTGATCATGTTGGTCACTATATTCATGAAATGAAAATAATTTACATAATGATCAACTTTGTGTTTTTACAGTAGCCTATATGCAAAGTACAATTTTCTATTTTCTAACATTATAACATTTTAAGAGTGACATAGGGCTACAAAAGCTATTTTAGGTCTATAACAGTTTGGATAGTGTTTAATATAAGAGCTGTTCAAAATTATTTAAGAGATAAGAGATAAGTATTGTGTTACTAAATAAGTATCTCTCAGACCCTTTTACTTTTAAAAACTCCATTTCGTGACAAATATTGTTTAACAAGCCATAACTAAAATTGTGCCATGCATATAATTTAAGGCAATAATCAATGCGCTAATGGTTGCTTCCTCTCTTTAAAGTTAGATTAATCTAGCAAAATAACTCGATTCTATTAACTGTGTTTTTCAAATGAACGGTATGTGATTTTATTTTTGGGTTGTTGTTGTTTTTTTTATTGGGGGGGGGGGGGGCTCGAAGGGGGTCTCGCCCTGGGTGTAATTCAGAGTAGAACCGCCACTGTTCCCCCTAAGCAAACAACATTGACATCAATGTTGCCATGCCTTTGAGTTTAAATATCTACAAAAGAAGGGAATATATTTTGTGTATTTTGACTTCCATTTCGCTCTGTTCTTTACACAAAGCTACTATGTGACTTCCATAACATTTAATTAATGACTAGGATTTTCTTTGAATATTCTCCATTTGTGCTCCACAGAAGAAAGAAAGCACTTGAGGGTGAATAAATGATGACAAAATTTCAGTTTTGGCCCTTTCAAGTGAGACCCACAGCCATACTGAGCCAGTGGTGAGATGGAAACACACCTGGTACGAGACGCAAGCAGCGACAGACAAGATACTTACGAATGAGACGGTGCATATCCTGTGAGTAGCGGGAATTGTCTGGAATGGTGAAGTTGCCATCACAAATGGCCACCTGACTCTCACCAAAGGGCAATGTGAAGAAACAGATTTTATAGAGCAGACAGCCCATTGCCTGAAAGAACAAAGAACCCATCTCACTGTACAGTACGGGAAAAAGACCCTCGATTGAGGTCATAATTATATATTGAATAAAAGCCTCGGATAAGGTTAATTAAACAGTCTTATACCTTCTGTTCTTTTTTGGGGTTTTTTTTACAAAACAAGCATACATTAAAGTTAATAAGGAAAACTGACCATACTTATTTTTTAAATACACATGGTCTCTTTATTAGGTATTTAGGTATTGATTTAGCAAACTTGCAATTAGTCTGGTGAAAGATAGATTCGAAAAGCTTAAAGGGATACTCCACCGCTTTTTCATATTAAACTGTTATTCCCCTAACTAAGTCGAGCTGATACATACTTCTCTCGTGTCAGTGCGTACACTTAATGGCTCTGTCTTGCGGCAAAACTTTGATAGCACGTAACTAGCCCAGTTCATTCAATATGGGCCAAGCAGAGAAGCGACCAAACACCTCAACGTTTTACCTATTTAAATACAGTCACACGAGTAGTGTAATTCGACGTAGGACAGTGACACAAAATAAAACGTTGCGCTTTTCTAAGTGTGTAAAGTGAGTAACTATGTTATATGGCGAAATACCACAGCAAGTGCTTGGGAGCACTTCGACACATATTTATCTATTGACTCGGCGCAGTAATAACATCACTTGTGAAAAGTCCTCTCCCCCCTCTCACTCTCCGGATTGATGATATTACTGCCCTGAGTCCATAGATAAATATGCACCGAGTCGAAGTGCTCCCAAGCACTTGCTGTGGTATTCCGCCATACAATATAGTTATCCATTTTACACGCTTAGAAAAGCACAACGTTTTATTTTGTGTCACCGTCTTAGGTCGAGTTACACTGGGTTTTCCCTACATTTAAATAGGGTAAACATGGAGGATTTTGGTCGCTTCTCTGCTTGGCTCATATCGAATGAACTGGGCTAGTTAAATGCTATCAAAGTGTCTCGCGTGGCAGAGTGATTGAGTGCACGCACTGAGACGAGAGCGGTATGTATAAAAAGGAGAACTCCGGCGCAAAATGAACCTTTGGTCTAATTACACATTGTTACCTAGTCAACCGTTATCTGAGATTTGTTTTCATGATTGCCAAATGTAAATAGTTTTATCTCTAAAAACAGTTTAGCCTATAATGCTAGTATAACGCTAGTATATAGGGCATAGAGTAATGACAAATAAAAATCGTTTGTACCAAGCGGCAACCTCCCCGTCTCTCTCTTGAAGCCAACACGGAAGTGAATTAAACTGCAATTTATCGAGTGGCTGCAGAAGCTGCAGAAGCGAGTCAAATCTGTATCTCCTCCATGTTAAAATGGCAGCAGAAAATGCCACTTTACAGCAGAAAAAAACATGTTTACAGCCTGGAGCAAAAAGTGGCTTTGGTCTATAGAGCTCATTTTTCCCTTCATGACAACTGTGAAGGGGCTGAATTTTTTTACAACTCATCTGTTTAAATTATATTCAAGCCTTAAAGTTCTGCATAATTAAGGGTGTGGCCACTCGAGTGACAGGTGGATTCTTGCCGCTGCTTTCACTGCTAGTCTGCTGTCTGTTAGCGTCACCCTCAGCTGTGTTTGTGCTTTTCCGGGATTATTTCATACAATTTAATACATGTATTATACCTTCGCCCGTGCACGCTGTTGGATTCCGTCGTGTTGAGTATGGAGAGAACGACCAGCGCTGTGTTTCCAGCTGTTTCCCTCGCATGCACTAATGGATGTCTGATGATTTCAGTGCTTTCTCTCCGTCAGTGCAATAGATGCACACCCTTGAATGAGCGCTGATTTCTAGTTCATTTACTTGAAGTTCTGAGGTAATATCTTTGGTTTGACCCATCTGAGAAACTGAGAGGCGGCCAAAATCAGATTGTAAAATGGACTGAATTAAAGCTTGTAAGGAATGTGCGGAATGAATTAGCTTCTGCTTCTGAACAAACACGCACACACACACACTTACTTCAGTGGGTATTGGGTTACAAGTGACATAGAATGCCTCTAATGTAACAGGAGTGGGTAAAACTCTTTCTCTTTTTAAAGACATTTAACCAGATATACTCAATGTGTTTCTATTGGACATTTTACCAGATATACTCAATGTGTTTCTATGGTTGGACAGAAGATAAAATATCTTCTTATTAAACATACAGTTTAATAAGAAGATATTTTATACATACAGTCAACTTCACGAATACAGGAAGAAGCCATCTTTGAAAAATAGTCTCTACCAGTCGATCTACGAACGCCGATCCAAGTGCACTGGAGAGATGTGAATACGGTGATAAGGTGAGCGCGAACAGTAGGCTACGTGTACATACTGAAGAGAAGAAAATGGTTCGTGTTTGTGTTTCAGTTCAGCTCACTTGGATCGGCGTTCGTAGATCAACTGGTAGAGACTATTTTTCAAAGATGGCTTCTTCCTGTTTTCGCGAAGTTGACTGTATGTATAAAATATCTTCTCATTAAAATGTATGGACACTGACAAAGTTCTCAATGCTTCGGTTTGAATGTAGGGACCCTTATTATGCTACCGTGTTAGTGTGGGGCGATTTTTATTTGTCATTACTCTATACCCTATATACTAGCGTTATACTAGCATTATACGACAATTCACCATGACGTCACAGCAATAATAGACGTTCTTCCGGGTTGCTTGGAGGGAGACACACAGTCGGCAGTATCCTAATCTACATTTCAACAGTTGATTCAAAAACAGACGTGGTGGAAATTCAGACATAGTTAACATGATCATTAGAGCTTATTTTTTGATCTAGAGACGTGCACTCCCAACGCACTAGACCGCGGCGCGGGACTAGATCTGATGGCCGAGTGCGAGCACGGGCAGTAATGCATTCACTCTGTGTGTGTGGTTTGCGGGAGTAAATATCTATGAATAAACCAAATAAAAACGAATACATTTTTATTCATCTGTTGCAGAAAAGCAACAAGAACAACTAAAACAAAATAGAAATGATTTCCATGGCAGAGGATGTTTTTATAACATGACTGCAGCGATGAGCGATGTACGTTAGATAATCACAGACGTGTGGATTTATTGAACGCAAAGGCCAATCAGAAGCATTTACGATAGACTCACCGCTCAAAACTGACTTTTTGTTCAGTGCTGAATTCTACATGCTGGCAAATCCTCTAATTATAACAAACAACTGTATTATGAAATATTTATTGTGCAGTCAGCTTCATTGATAATAACAGAGATGTGTGATCGCGATGAACTGATGTCAGCTTTTTAGGAGCGCGCATTCAGTTATGCCAAACCATGCACGCAACCTGCTTGCTTTTATGTCATAACAGTGGTTTGTGTGTTAATGCTTTAATAACAAATAGTTTATCGGGAGCATTTATGCTGATGTGTATAATGGCGACACGTAGGCTAACTTGAAAGTATTTGGAGGTACAGAAAAAAAGTCTATTTGTGGGCGGCAGCGGGACAAAACATGCACTACTTTTGACGACGTCCACTCGCTTTAAGCTCCTCACCCACAGGTAATAAATTGATAAATTTACTTTTTTCTTAAGAAAATCGATAAAAACCCTACACCTTTTGCTGTATATCTGGCGGCGCAACCTCCAACACAACACATTTTCGCCATCGTTTCAACTTTGATCAACAACAATGATTTTAAATATGTAACTGTTCAGTTGCCGGCTGGATCAATAGAAGCCACTCGCGTTCTGCCACCCGGAAGTATCGTGGTGCCTATTGTTTACAAACATTCTGAAATGCCCTATACGCTAAACTGTTTTTAGAGATAAAACTATTTACATTCGGCAATCATGAAAACAAATCTACAATGTGTAATTAGACCAAAGGTTTATTTTGCGCCGGAGTTCTCCTTTAAGGGAAAAACATAGTTTAATATAAAAAAACGGTGGAGTATCCCTTTAAGAAAAGCCACTTTAAAATATCTTCAGATTGGCTCTGATATCTTTAATATATTTACTTACCCAGATATCTGCTTTAGTGGTGATGATTTTGCTGTTGTATAGGTTCACCATTTCAGGAGCGCGATAGGACAGGGTTGTGTACCTAAACAAAACAGACAATTTCATGAAACTCTGCATTATAATTAGTGTTGTTATTATTATCACATCAAAAGAAATGTGTCATAATTTGCAATAAATACAAGCAATTTGTTAATGGCCGATTTAACCTTAAAATTCTAGGTTGAAGGACGAACAGTACATACTTGGAATATGATCCATCATAATGATTATTGGCCTTTTATTTTAAATGTATTTTAATGTACTAAAAAACATTTTTTTTTATTATTCATGTTGTAAATAGTTGAGCTGCTTAATATTTTGTGAAAAATGTGTGGCACTTTCTTTGATGAATATAAAGTTCAAAAGTACAGCATTTATTTGCAGTGGTGGAATGTAACGAAGTACAAATACTTTGTTACTTTACTAACTTTAAGTACATTTTTCACGTATCTTTACTTTACTTAAGTAGAATAAACAGTGCATACTTTTTACTTTTTACGTAAAAATGTGTTTTTACGTGCATAGGAAACACACCATGTGTAATATACGTTTGGTTAGGATTATGGCAAGCCAAGAGGTTCAGAATTACACCATAAATTAGTCGCGTTTACTGCCAAACATAGTTATTAATATATAGTAAGGATAAGCATGGTTTATATTGCCTAATTGCAAGCTTGTTTCAGAAATGGTGACAACATTTTTTTTTCCATCATTATTGAATCTCATTATAGGAGTATTAGGTTGAATGGGTTAGAATTAAATGTTTTATTAATCATTAGAAAATAGTCACTAAGAGAATCAATTGTTATGCAAGTACTTTTACTTTTAATACCTAAAGTACATTTAAAATCAGGTACTTTTTACTTAAGTATGGTTGTCATTGTGTTACTTCTACTTTTACTAAAGTAAATATTTATCTGGTTATTTGTACTTTTACTTAAGTACTGAGATTGAGTACTTCCTCCACCACTGTTTATTTGAAATAAAAGTCTTTTACAGCATTAATTTATAGATGTCTTTACGGTTTTTTTTTACTAATTTAAAGTGAGTCTTTACTGAAAAAAAGTTTTCATTCCTTTAAAAAAAAAATTTAATTAACAACGCTTTGTATTTTTATCTGATCACTCACCCAAAAACTTGTCAATATAGTAATGTTAAAGGGATAGTTCACACAAAAATGAAAATTCTGTCACCACTTACACACCCTCAAGTGGTTCCAAACCTGTATACATTTATTTCTCCTGCTGAACACAAAACAAGATTTTTATGAAGAATGTCGATAACAGATGATGGGCCCCATTAAATTCCATAGTATTTTTTTTCCCCATAGGTTGAGAAAGTGACGACAGAATTAAAACTTTCAGGTGAACTATCCCTTTAATAAGTAAAATCATGCAGTACAACTTACAGACCATCAATACTACAATTTACAACATTATGCATATTCATTCCAAATAATCAATAGCCTCCAGGAATCCATGAAGTTAGTGGACTCACCTCCAGTAATGCATGTGAGAAAATGTTGAATAAAATTTTTTATTTTTATTTACATCACTGTTCTGAGTTCTGTACATTAGTAAGAAATTGATTAAAATGGTTCATTTTACGAGTAAACCTCCTCTGCATATTTCCACAGGTTATAAATCAAATTGAATTTCACAGAAACAGGCTGATTGGAGAGTATTACTTTTTAATTTCGTCCTCCACCACAGTCACTCCTTCATTCTGGGGGTTCTGGAACTTCATGGTGGCGCTGCCAAAATCACACAGAACATAGTGTCCTCTGTCATGAAGCAGGATGTTTTCCACCTGCAAAGAGTCGTACACAAATTACACTCCAGTACAACATCTCACCTTCAACTAATATAATGATGTTTTGAGAAAAACCCCAAGGAGTCAACCTCTTGATCAAGTGTTCACTGTGAAGTAGTTTTACCACGGTAACAGTCAGTCACAAACAGCTGTTAACTGTGACTCATGTAATCAAGGATGTAATCAAAACACAAAGCAGAAAATAAAGGAACCTTGAGGTCTCGGTGGATTATGGGAGTTTTGAACTGGTGCAGTTGTGCCACAGCCTCACACGTGTCACAGAAGATCTGGAGAGCTTCCTGTTCGCTGAAGCCTGTCTGCAAACGCTGGTTCATTAGGTTCACCACCTGACCACCTGCATGGAAACAAAAAGAATGTAAAACACTAACACTTCAGAACCAAGTAAACACCAAGACAACCAGGATAGTATTCAAAGCATTGCGATTGAGAGGGTTTTTCTCTGAGGTTCTTAGGGAGAATTAAAGCAGAGACTACTATGTGAAATTAGAAATGTAAATCCGCAGTGCAAATCAAAACAATTCATTAAAAGAGTATACCTAGACATTATATAGCTGAACACAAGAACCCACATGTCGGTCCAAGCACTTCAGAAGTCAATTACCCAGCAATTATGTCAATTTGCCTCAAAAGAAAGAAGGAACAAGCTCTTTTGGGATAATGAAAAAAATAAATAATCTGTTGTGGGCTTTACGAAATTCTATGGATAACCTCTTGCAGTAAATTAACCAATCAAGACATAGGGAAACCCTTTCAGATGAGGACACTGAAAAATGTTTTTCCAGTAATGAGGATAAGTCTTTTGTGTAGGTGCTGTTAGGAGATGACATACCTTACACAATTAAAGACTTTGAGTAAAGAAAAGCTTTCTCAAGGTACAAGAAGATTAGGATATAAGGCCATGTCATGGTGTGATGGAGGTCTGAGAGCGCCTCCAGGTGGATGAATTGTATAAATAGTACAAACACCTTGTACAAGAGGAGATACTATATATAAGGCCCTGCTTGCACCTGGTATTAAGATGTGTTTTGGTCGATCGGACCACAAGTAGACGAGGAAGACACATTCCAGTTTACACTCGATGTTTTAATCCCTCTCTTTTGTACACTTTCAACCACTTCTGTCCTGATTTGTTTGAGGGGAGGGTCTATGGGTGGGTAAATGTATGAGTTCTTTATCTAATGGACAAAATAAGATCACGCAATTTACACATGAACGCTCCAGAAGAACAACATACAGAGAGCATCAGCTTGCGTTTCTGTTCTGACAGCCGAAAGACCACGCTGAACGCTGTGAGTGAGTGTTAGAAATCAGGAATGATCAGAGAACATTGTGCTTGGTACACTTTTTCATCTTCAAACCAAACTTGAGTCCCCAGCTGACAATGTTTAAATCCCGTCTGGCTAGTGTGTGATGGATCTGCCATGTGCCTTGGCAAATCACATCTAAAAAATTAGTCCATCGCCAAAAAAAAAAAGAGCAAAGTCTTAAATTGTGATGTTTTATCAAATCTTGCTTACACAAGATAAAAAGTGATCAAGCCTCATTAGAGAGGAAAAAGGCGAACAAATTATAACAGTTAAAAACAAGGAGGTCCAAAAATTGTATTCCATTCAGATTACATCACAGGAAAAATCCACTATTCAAAAAAGACATAATTGGGCTTGAGCCTCTCAAACTGACAGAGGGCAAAATTCAACAGAGGGTTCAAATAAGTAACAACTCTCTCTAAACAAAACATACACTGAATTTATAAGAGGTGGCCAGCACCATGAAAACAAAGAAGGGTAAACATTACCATACAAATTTCCACAACAATAACAACACAAACCCTGGAATAAAGACAATACATTTAACTCAATTTAGAGCCATGGATCAATTTTAGTTAATGCGAAAGAATCCCATTTAACAAACCCCCCTAATACATTTCCCCTCTAACACATCAAAGTTGGTACAGTTTCATTTCCTTTAGAATTCCCATAAAACAGATCAAATTCCTGTTTGAATCCAGCCTAGTCACTAGGCTGGTCCATACCACAACACAACAGGTACTAAACATTTCAAGTCATCTTAATTACAAAATGAACTAACAATTTAAGCTATGTTTTTATAAATCACATTTTAGCTAAAGAGGAATTTTAGCTGGTTTTAATGTTTTAATCTTAAGCCAAATAACTAAGCCCATGCACTGACCCAGTACAATGACAAACAAAGATCTTAAACCAAACCATAGTAATGTCCTTTTATTTATAAATCAAATGTAAATATGAATAGATAAAACTTGTGTGGCTTAAATACTGACCATCACATAGTGTGCTTCCAAATAATGTTCAATTATTGACTTTTTTTTTAATAATGAAAATGTGTTTGAAAAGTTTTGAATTGAAATATGCACAGTTTAAATATGTAACCATGCTGAATTTCAGCCAATAAAAATGCAATGCATTAAAATGCAAGAATGGTTAATGCAATGCAATTTTTTTTCAAGTAATGCCATTCAACAGGCTTTTTGTTTCAAAATCATTTGGCATTATTTTACTTCCATAAATATAAGTCATAAGTGTTTCTCTTTTGTTTTGTTTTTTTACTCCAAATAGAACGAAGCCATATTTACGACCGATCTCGAGCCCATTTGAATGAGAGAGAGAGAGAGAGAGAGAGAGAGAGAGAGAGAGAGAGAGAGAGACAAAGATACCTGGAGAAAATTTCAATTTTAGGCTCCGATCCTTATTTGTTATGCCCAGTTCCCAGTTCTCCCCCAGACTTGCCCCAATTTGCCTTCCATGATATAAGTGCATAACCCCTCCCCATAGACTACAGTAAGGATCACCTGAAGGCCAATATGCTGTGGCTGGATGACTAAAATATGTACAATTGCTGCACCTGGCCACCAAGGATTTATATTTAATCATGGGAAATGTAATAGGTATAATTAAAAAAAATATATAAAATGTATGATTTTGGTGGTTGTTTGCTCTGACTAGGTAGCGTTGTTAGCTAGTTAAATGGCTAACAGCTAGTAGCTTGCCAGCTGTTAGCCACGGCTCATGGCTGGCTGTCATTAATCTAGATTAGGCCTGTCTCGATAGTCAATAAATAATTTAATCGCACGATAAAAAAAAATGAGCTCGATAATTTTCAGCCGCGTTAATTTCCATTTGCATGCTTGTTTGTTTGTTTTAGTCGTCTGTGTCGCTCTCTATCTCTGTCTCTCTCTCTCTCTCTCTCTCTCTCTACCAAAGAGACTGGATGACAACTCTGACTTAAGACATAACCGACTTATTTTCCGTCAATACTCTCCAAAACAGATATTTCAACAAAGTTGTTTGTATCCATTCAAACACGAAACAGAGCTCAATAAATTACTTGCTCGCTGTATAGGGAAATACGGCTGCCCACTTTGGCTTGGGTGTGTGCGCACAGAAAGATGAGAAATGATACAATATGAGACATGCAGCTCTTCTCTTTGAATGACAGCTAACCCTTTTTTTCATCTATCCTTTTATTGTGGTATATAATAAAATACCAGTTCGGACTTCCTCTTTTGGCTGTTTAATGCAGCCAACTGCACAACATCCTAGAGGTACAGTTGTCTAATGGGAGTTTAAGTTACTCTTTGTCAAAAATATGTTTGTTTTCCCACACAGACACAATGCAGCTGTGCACAGAGGCATTGTGGGGCTGAAAGGCGAGGCAGACTTACCTCTGCAGAAGTCCATGAGGATAAACACCTCCCACACGTCTCCACCTCCTACAGCCGTGATGCTGGAGTCCAGGAACCCAACAATGTTCTTGTGACCATTGAGATCCCTCTGGAATACAATCCACAGAGAACAGAAAGTGAATGAATGATTCAGACGAAATGAGCTCAAGCAGGCACACGTCACAAATAGCTCAGATGTTTTATATCTGTATATATATATATATATATATATAAAACCAGTCATATTGTGAAATATTATTACAATTTAAAAAACTAATAATATAATTTATTCCTGTGATGTCAAAGCTGAATTTTCAGCATCGTTGCTTCAGTCCTCAGTGTCACATGATCCTTAAGAAATAATTCTAATACAGATTTGGTTCCACACATATTTTTGTGCAAATAATGATTATTTTATTAATTGAAAGTTTAAAAGAACAGCGTTTATATAAACTAGAAATCTTTTGCAACATTATAAATGTATTTACTGTCAATTTTAATCAATTTAATCTATTCTTGCTAAATAAATAAAAAACTTACTGACCTCAAACTTTTGAACAGTAGTGCAAGTCATGTTTTTACAGTATAACATGTCTCAAATATAAAAGATATTATCAATGTTAAAACACAGAAGACATTTCATCATGCTCACCATGATCTGGATCTCGCGCTTGCAGATCTGCAGGTCGTATTCGTTGTTGACATACATCCTCTTTAGTGCGCAGCGCACCCCCTGATTAGTCCGCACTAAGAAGACGATTGCAAAGCCGCCTGCAAAGGAAAACACACAAAGTTTCAATGCTTTTGCTGAAAACTAGCTTGAGACCTAAAAGAGTAAGGTGATATTTACACCACAACACTGCCTCCATGTGGAAATCAGCGGGAATTTTAATTCAGTTTATCAGAGAATTTTCTTTTGTTAGAATTATTATATCAAATTATTATTATTTAAATAGTTAATTTGTAATAAATCAAAACAGCAATAAATGAATGATATTAATATGATTATAAGTCCCCCTGCAATAATTTTATCCCTTAAAACTCTTCTTTGATGACCAAGACTACATATTTAAAAGTATTTTTTTCTTGAAAAAATTTCTTCATTAATGTAAAACCCTTGCCTCATTCTGTATTGAGAATGAGGAGTCACGTGCCTATTTGGGCGGGGTCTGAGCCGGTCGGCCATGATGGTAGGAGACGCTATCGGTTACCAGGGGCAACGCCTTTACAACCCATAGACTAAACATTCCAGAGCTCTTAAATTTTCGCGCATTTATTATTTTGGCAGGACAGAGACGGATCTAAGAATACGAGAAAAAAAGGAAGAAAGTAAAGCAATGCTAAAAGATAAGGCGAAAGAAAAGGGACCTTACTGGAACAAACTCACACAAAGTGCAAAACAGCTGTATTTGGAGAAGCACGATCAATATATTTGTTCTTTTGCACTAATAACATTATTATTTTATTATTATCACTTATGTTGTCCATGAAACTTATGTTGTCCAAATAGCCTATATATTTCAGTTCTCAATAAATATTGTTAACCCATATCAAGTTGTTTCAAACATTTATTTCAATGAAATAAAAAAGTAATGAACAAGGCACTCAAACAACACTTTTGCATATGTTCGTTAAGGCACAGCAAACAGTGAAAATCGTACACTAAAGGCATCAGCAAACCCAGAAATCCGGCGTCTCCCCGTCAGATCAGACTCTCCCTGCTGTGTCAATTTTGGTAACCCCAAAAACTTAATTCCATTGTTCCTATGTTTTCCATGTATCGTGTGAGTTACTGGAGGAGTTAAAGGGTTAGTTCACCCAAAAATGAAAATTCTGTCAGTATTTACTCACCCTCATGTTGTTCCAACCCCGTAAGACCTTCGTTCATCTTCGGAACACAAATTAAGATATTTAAGATATTAAGATCGCTCCTGCATACAGTCCATAGGCTTCTTGAGGGACTGGTTCTTGCTGTCCTCGAAAAGTCATTAAAGACATCGATAAAATAGTCCAAGTGACTACAGGGGCTCAATCTTTTATCAAACGACGAGAACACTTTTGTGCGCAAAAAAACAACAAAAATAACGACTTTATTTCAACTATTCGTTTATTTCTCCCTCTGCGCGAGTCAGGTTACTAGTTTAATAGCGTAAGCTTCTGTTATTGTACGTCACACGCATCACACACACATGACCAGCGTCGGCCAATTACTGAGCCTACGTGTGACGTAGCTCTACGCAATCACACTACGTTAACTGACTTACAGGCTCATGGAGAAGGAAGTGAATAGTTGAAATAAAGTCATTATTTTTGTTGTTTTTTTGCGCATAAAAGTGTTCTCGTCGTTTGATAAACTTAAGATTGAGCCCCTGTAGTCACTTGGACTATTTTAACGATGTCTTTAATGACTTTTCGGGGACAGCAAGAGCCAGTACCTCAAGAAGCCTATGGATGGACTGTATGCAGGAGCGATCTTAATATCTTAAATATGTTAATTTGTGTTCCGAAGATGTGATTCCTTACGGGGTTGAAACAACATGAGGGTGAGTAAATACTGACAGAATTTTCATTTTTGGGTGAACTAACCCTTTAACACAGCAGTTACTTCCAGGCATGGTAAAACAGTGCGGTATTGCGAGAAACTCCTCTACTACCGAGCTAAAAACACACGTAATCAATACTGTTTTGCCATGGGAATCCTACCAACATGGCGGAAAGGGGAGGCCCCGCCTCCACTCACTCACACCAGGGCTGCGTTCAGCCCGGTGTTCAGTCGATTTTTGCTGCCTTGTCGAAAAATGCTACCGTAGCGCGAATTGATCGATTAAAGTCGTATGAAATACAATTCTAATACAATTCTAAGTTATGAGTAGCTACTGTATACTGTAGACTACTGTTTTTATTTTTAAAACGGTGTGAAAAGTAAAAATTATCATAAAATATTCATCTTTGACTTGTCAAAGTACACCTTTTCTTATAGTAACTGAAACTTTCAGTTATTCCTTTTCAGCTGGCTGACCGTACAAATATTCAGATGGTGGTAAGCATTTTTTAAAGGGAAATTATACATTATAACAGAAAAATGTACCTTTTGTAAAAAAAATAAATAAAAAAAAAACCTGTGAGTCTGCACATGCGCATAACCGGTAAGTAGGAAATCTCGATGGGTAGCATGAATTGTCAGAACACCGGACAAAACGTTGCACAACGTTTTTTAAACAGAAACGATGATGCGTTGAACACCCTGTTCTGATGACGCAAGAGTTGCAACTATGGAGCCCGATAAGGCCATTCTCTGTGTTCTTTGTGAAGAATTTTCGGATGATGAAGTCGGTATAAATATGTGTTTAATATTACAAAATATACCCAATGTTACAGTAACTGCACTTGCCGCCCAGAACACAAGAGAACATCCCAATCAAGTGAAGGGATTTGTGGAAACTGAAAGCACACATCTTACCTAATTCAGACTAAAACACATTCTGTTTAGCCTCACACACTAACTTTATTTGTATTTCATAATGTTTTAATAACCTATTTTCTTTCTCATTTTTAGGAAAAGCATTTATATACCAAATGTCACACTTGCAATGAAGCTAAAAAATATAATAAACTACATCATGTTGATATCCTATATTTTTACAATAAACGACAAACATATCTTCTAATATCCTCAGTTGTTGCATATATCGATCTGCATTGAACACATTTGTAAATTACGTTCAACTAGGAAACCGTAGCAAAACGTTGCACACCGTTTTGAACTTGAACGTGCCCCAGCTCAGAGATCCACTCGTTGACGTGATTGGTTACAAGGTAGTTTGTGACGGCAGAGACACCAGCAATTTCAATCACTTAATTTGTCAAAAAACATATTTAAAATACTACATAGACGTATTTAAAAGCTTGATTTTCAACAGGGGGACTATTTGCGATCAAACACTGCTCGCCCTGTCTATAAGCTCACTTATTTATTCACTTATTAAGTTCACATTTATGCATGCAAGCATTAAATTGTGTTTCACTAAGCCAGACATTTTTAGTGGAAGCACTGGGAACTAATGTAAGCAACTGCAGGTGTTTATAACAGCATATAGTCTAAGCATTTCCTCATGGTGTTATACTCCATGATGAAGTGTCCAGTCAGACATCAGAGCCTGTATGTTTGCACTCAGATTTTGCTGTGTTAGCATAATGCGGAGCAGGGTGTCATTCCTCAAACCAGGCACCAGGGAAACTGAAGAGAGAAAGGAGGACACGGATATTTCTAGCTCTATAGAACCAGTCAATCAATCAGAGATAACAATTATCTCTGTTTTGTTTTTATTGCAGAGCTAAAATAAAAAGATGCTGAAAGGTGTTTGAACAGCACACATGAGTTTGAGAAAGTCTACTCGCTTCATTAACAGTTCCATCTGTGAACTGGAAATTCAATTAAACAGAGTAAACAACAGTTTCCTTTACAATACCGATAACACACGCAATTCATGACAACGCAATGAACGCTCACTCAACCAATTTAATACTTTCTTCTGTACACCACAAAAGAAGTTTTAGGCAGGATTTTCATACTGCTTTTAACTTTTTTTTTTAAGCTTTCACAGCACTTGGACAACATACAGCTTCTATTATGGTGTCAATACTAAGCTTAACTAAATGTCCTCTCTTATAACAACATGAGGTAGAGTAAATAATGACAGATTGTTATTGTTTATGTGAACTCTTGTTTCAAATTCCTAGTTAAAAAATGGATATTTGAATCAACATCAATTGTTAGAATGAACACATACAGGTTTGGGGTTAGAAAAAGTGTTTAAATATTTTTGAAAGAAGTGTCTTCTACTCACCAAGGCTGCATTTATTTGATCAAAAACACTGTAAAAACAGTAATATTGTAAAATATTAGATTTAAAATAACTATGTTTCTATTTGAATATATTTTAACATCTAATTTCTCCCTTTGATGCAAATCAGAATTTTCAGCATCATTACTCCAGTCTTCAGTGTCACATGATCCTTCAGAAATCATTCTAATATGCTGTGTTCAAGAAACATTTATGACAGTTATACGTTTACTACAGTTGTAGAAATGGTGATTTTTTTCAGGATTAATTACTTTAAAAAATAAAAAGTTCAAAAGAGCATTTATTTGAAATAATATTTTCATTATAAATAAAAAATGTCTATACTGTCACTTAAACAATATATTGCATCTATGCTGAATAAAATCATTTTAATTAATCGTTTATATATATATATATATATATATATATATATTAAATACTGACTCTGTACTTTAGTACAATGTGGCAAATTAATGTTTTAAAGTACAAACACTCAATGTGGTCTCAGAAATATAGAAAAAAATGCTTTATAATAATGATAAAAGAATCAATGAAATGCTTAGATTGAATATAACATGTCATACCGCCGGACATGTCAACACCCAAGTACAGATGAGCAGGGATTTCCAGACAAAGGATTTAGGCCACTAAACAAAGCTGCCAGATGAGCCGAGGAGAGCAGAGATATAACCACAGTTCACCTGCAGGACATTTGTTTGGTGGATTCAATTATCTGTAACTAGCTGGCGTATAGACCATTTCACAAGATGTAAACAACACTGGTCCAGAAGCACTTCCTGTTTCAGTTTGTAACTGTTTTCTTTATTTCACATGTAAAGAATTCATCTTAAAGATGTTTGTTTAACTTTTTGATTCAGTTTTAAATGTTCTGTTGGTTGTATTTTATCCCAGCTTTTATGTAGTGTTAAAAAACTGAAACAGGAAGTGCTTCTGGACCAGTGTTGTTTACATCTTGTGAAATGGTCTATAATATTGAACATCAAGGAAGGATCGGGAAAAAAAAATACAGTGACAGAGCGATATGTCAACCAGAATAATGATTCAATATCTGCAATTTTGAAATGATCAGCATTGGCCAATGATTGGCAGAAGTATTACCTGCCGCTTTTGTAAGTCCACAATTAACTGACAGCTTTGGCAATTGACTTACAACATTTAAAGAGTGAATTTTGAGAAAAAAATAGCATAAAATAATTATGTGCATTATTGATTTGTGTGTTGTTTATATATACAGTCGTGACCAGAATTAATCATACCCCTGGTAATTATGATATAAAATGGCTGTAAAAAATAAATCCGCATTGTTTATCCTTATTTTTTTTCTTTTAAAAAATTGGCAAAATCCTAACCTTTCATTTAACTAAAAGAATTGAAATCACATTATAAATGTTTTTCTCCAAAACATGTTGGCCACAATGAGCTTTATGTACAGCTGCACTACTTCCTGAACTTCAGCCAGCTCCTTGTTTCCTGTCTCCCATTATTGGGCAAAATTGATTAAATTCAGGTGTGTCTGATTATTGTTGCCATGACTACTGAGGTCAAGCACACCTGAATTAATCAATGTGTCCAATAATGGCAGACAGGAAACAAGGAGCTGGCTGAAATTCAGGAAGTAGTGAAGCTGTGCATAAAGCCAATTATTCATACCCTTTTATTAAATACCTTTTTGCAATCTCCTTTTGCCAAGATAACTGAGTTTTCTGCTATAATGCCTGATGAGTTTGGAGAACACCTGACAAGAGATCAGAGACCATTCCTCCATACAGAATCTCTCCAGATCCTTCAGATTCCCAGATCCATGCTGGTGGTGCTTCTCTTCAGTTCAGACCACTCATTTTTTATATGGTTCAGGTCAGGGTCTGGGACAGTCATGGCAGAAGCTTCATTTTGTGCTCCCTAACACATTTTTGTGTTGATTTTGATTTTTGTTTTGGATCGTTGTCCTGATGGAAGATCTAACCACAGCCCATTATAAGATTTCTAGCAGAATGAGTCAGGTTTTGATTTTTTATCTGTTGATATTTGATAGAATCCACAATGCCATGTATCTGAATAAGAAGTCTAGGACCTCGAGCAGAAAAATAGGCCGCCAACATTAAAGATCCAATGGTATATTAAATACACATGGGGTACTTTTTATCCTCATGTCCACCAAACCCATTTAGTGTGCTCACTGCCCAAAAGCTCTTTTTTAGGCTGCATTTACACTGCAGGTCTTGATGCCCAAATCCGATTTTCTGACTATATCCGATTTTTTTTTTTTTTTTTGATGACCTGCTTACATTATCTTTTAAAAGTGACCCATATCCGATTTTTGCATTTACACTATACACTGAAGAAACTACCAAAATGTCTTCAAAAATGGATTTATTTCTGTAACAACCCTGCATGTTTGCCTGCACTCTTCACCCCAAACACTCAAAAGACATGAAACCTCCGCATTGCTCCACTGTGTGTATCCTTTCTTCCATCGCGCCTATAATCGCGCACTTTTTAATGACGTACAACTCGCATTACCGGGGAATATCCGATTTGTCTGCTTACATGGCACACGCAAATGCACGTATCCGATTCATATCCGATTTATTACCACATACAAATGAGGCCTAAATCCGATCTGAGAAAATCGGAATCCATGTGTTTTTTTCCTGCTTACACGTTCACTGGTCATATCCGATCTGTGCCACATGAGAGGAAAAAATCGGATTTGTGTCACTTGACAGACTGATCTCATGAAGTAGCGTGTGTATGACACGCCAATTCGTATTTCCATTTTTGGTGTGCTATCAAGACGCATAATCGCCTTTCAGCGTGTTTATGAACGCCGTTGACTTAACGTTATATAAATATATGACTTACCTCAACCCCGTCCCTAAACCTAACCGTCACTGGAGTTAATGGCATTTATGACTGTTCCCTTACCATCCTAGGTAAAAAAAAGATATGACTTACCTCAACCCCATCCCTAAACTTAACCGTCACTGGAGATTTGACTGCGTGTTCAGACACGCGGAATGACGTGGACATTAATGGCGTAGACATATACGCATACACACGGATACGCGCGGACAGCACAAAATGCGTGGAGATGACACGCCACCTGACTCGAAAGTGGCGTATATGTTTACGCAAAAGTCATGATGTCATGTTGCACTTGAACCATGCAGTGTAAACGAGGCCTTAGTCTCATCTGACCACAGAACCCTGTGCCGTTTGAAGATCCAGTCGTGTCTGACCACTGAATATGCTAGAGTTTGTTTTTGGAGGAGCGAGGAGGATTTTTCTTGAAACCCTCTCAAACAACGTAGGGGGTGCAGGGGTTGCTTGATAATTTTTTTAGGCTTTCTGACCCTCAAGACTCAACTAATCTCTGCAATTCTCCATCTGGGATCCTTGAAGAGTCATTGGCCACTCAAACTTTCATCCCCACCATCCATTAAGAAAATCTAGACACATCAAAACATCTTTAGTTGATTATAACTTCTTACTTATTGCCCTGATGGTCAAAATGGAAATTTTCAATTCTTTAGCTATTTTTCTTGAATCCACTTTCTATTTTGTGAAGCTCAACAATCTTTTGATGCACATCAGAACCATGTTCTTTGGTTTTATTCATTGTGATGGACGATTCAGGAAATTTGGCCATTGTGCTTTCTCATATTTAAACTCCTGTGAAACAAGAAGTCATGACTGGACAATTTCATGTTCCTAGTCACCCTAGTGTGCTAAAAAAGGTAAATATTAATGGGTATATACTTCATAGACATTTTATTCATAAAAAAATTCTAGGGGTATGAATAATTGTGGCCAACATGTTTTGGAGAAAAACATTTACTTTATAATGTGATTATACCACCACTTTCAATTCTTTTACTTAAACAAAAGGTTAGGATTTTGCCAATTTTTTGAATGAAAGATCAAAAGGATAAACGATGCAGATTTATTTTTTACAGCCATTTTATATCACATTTAGCAGGGGTATGATTAATTCTGGTCACGACTCTATCTATCTATAAATAAATTCATTACTTTCTATGAATTTACCAAACTGCTAACACTTTTACAATTCCCATGATATTTCCAGCTTTTCGGATGACCTTGGCTTGTTCACAATCAGTGATGGGGAGCCTAAGTTACTCTAAAAAGTAATTAATTACTAGCAACTACTAATCACATCTTAAACAGTGTATTTCGATTACTGTACTAATTACTCTCTATTACATTACTTATTTCTTTCTAAATCCCATAACAACCTCAACAAGTTGAACAATCCAAGGATAGACTGGAAACTGCTCTTTTAATTACTTCAAATAAAAATAACACAAAATTGTAAAAACATGTCTTAAACTGACCAGTTTTTAAGTTTTTAAAGGGAAAAGGTTACATAAAAACATACATTATATAATTATCCTTTACATTTTTATGTTAAATCCACCATTGGTTCATATAGAATTGTTCTATAGTCTAAACAGCATTTAATGCAAATACATCGGGAGTAACTAAGTAAATAACAGAAAAAAAGATATCCATTACTTTTTCAAGGGAAAAGTAATTCAATTACAGTAATGCAATCCACTTGTCAACGATCATCTAGCCTATAAATGATAGTAACAATGTTTTTGTTGATAACTTCATCATTGTCAAATCTGAATATTGTTTGAAGCTCAATCAAATTCAATTCACCCAGTCTTCCAAAATTTCATCGTTGAAAGAATTTTGATTCTCATGATGTTGATTATGGTGTGCTTGGTGTCCTGTCCTGTTAAGTGAAAGGTTATAGGTTGAAAGGAAATATCAAACATCAGCCTGACGTACCTTCTGCCAAAGTTTCTTCTACAGTGACCTGGTGTCTCCCGACAGTGAAAGCCCGACCGATGAAATTCCCACCAGCACCACTGCTGGATCCAGAACCTCCAGCTCCCCCTCCAGAACCGGGTCCAGAGCCCACCAGCTCCCTCCGGGAGTCAAAGAACTTCTTCATGATGCGTCAAAGATCCCTTAAACACTTGTAAGTCTATTAGAAACTAAAGTGGGAGGGTTGGTTGTTCTGGTGCCAGAGGTCTAGATCAGCTGCGACTGTCAAACATGGACTTGCTGCTGACCACAGTTTAAATGAACCGTATAGCCACAAAAACGTACAAGAAACTGATTGTAAACAGTATATATACTAAATTAATGCATCACAGTTCAAACAGCATCACTGAAACAGCATCAATCAGCGATGGCCTGATATGATTAAGTGTTTGTCTAGTGTCTGTACAAGTGACACGAGCCCATATCACGATAGAAATACTTATATCCAGCTGAAAACGATGTAAACATTCAAGCCAAGTTGCAAAGCGAACCTTCAGATGTGAAGTCAACAGAAATGATTGTTTGGGTGGATGAAAGTCAAACTCTCCATCATCAGCCAGTTGTGCAGTTCATTAAAACCTCTGAAAAAGCACCCACTTTTCACAGAAAAAAAGATGACACGCGGATATTAACCAGAATGATGGATAATTTCATTAGTTAAACGCCCATAACCGTATTAATTCGTCCCTTGACTGATGAAAATATAATAAATTAAATTCAACATATAATCAGCTAGGCGCTAACGCTAGCATTCCTGCAAAACCCACTCAGACGCGTTTCGCATCTCATCTGCGCGCTCCCGTCGGTGGCTTGCAGGTGAACGGTCAACGGATGCGATTTGATTTTAATCAGACAGAATCGAATTCATGCAGAAATTAGCGTGTTGTTCATGGCGATTCTCGTCTGCGGCTTCGGATGCTGCAGATGCGCCAGCTAACCGGAAACCACACCGGAAGAATGAAGCCAGCGCTAAAATAACCATAATAAAAGTCCGAAACTCTTGATAAAAAAATCTTTATTGTACTTTATTGTTATGAGTTTTGAAACATTGTCATCAAAATGTGGGGTCTCCAGTCCACATATAAATATTTATAAGAAAAAGAAATTGGTATAATTTGACTTTTTAATATATTATTTTCCTATATATTTCCTACAATGCTGTTGAATTTAAATATGACATATTGTAAATCAAATGTACTTATTAAATACAAAAAATAATTATCCATATTACAAAGACCTATATTTACTCATTTTAAAATATAACTAGGTCACCTTTATACTTTAACAGCAATAAGAAATAACCTAAGCAATAAGCCTTAAATCTATTGATTGATTGATTGATTGATTGATTGATTGATTGATTGATTGATTGATTGATTGATTGTTTGATTGTTTGATTGATTGATTGATTGATTGATTGATTGATTGACAGTGTACAACATGTAGCCTATAACATTATTTTTGTTCTCTTCTATTACCATTCTTGTGTTTTTCTGTGTTAATAGGTGTTTTGCCTGTGTAGAGGACATATTTTCACAAATTTCTCTGACAACATATGTCATAGTTTTAAGTCTGAATGTTGTGTAAAGAGCACATTTAGGGCTTTGAAGAGATACCAAATGTTTGGAGGTTTCACCAGGACAAATCCCTCTCCTTGGTCTTTAATAATGACTGAATGATCAAATTAAGTAGCCTACTCTTATGGAAATATGATAATATTTTTTTATTTATCATTTAAATATCATTTTCAAATTGTTTGTCAGAAATCAACAACACCTCAGGAAAACATTATGGGGTTTATTAAACGTTATGGTGTAGAAATATCAATATCAATATCAATATCAATTTTATTTGTATAGCACACTTAAAACAACCAAGGCTGACCAATGTGCTTCACAGATATAAAATACAACAAGGCACACAGTAAAACTACAACAATAGAACATTATAATAGACAGTGTATGATATATAATGAAATTAAATTTAAAAATTTACCAGGAAAGATGACAAACTTAACTGGGAGGAAATGCCAGAGAAAAGAAATGTGTTTTTAACAGTGATTTAAAAAAACAGAATATTACTTTTTTTTACGAAAGAGCATTGATTCCATAGCCTGCATGACCTCTGTGGAGGACACCAGGACTTTCATTATTGCATATCATGCATTGTGGAGAGACAACAAGTGAAAAGGTATAAGGATAAGGATAAAAAGTTTTAAAAATGTATTACAGAGACAAAGAACAAAAGAGAAAGCAGTTTATGTGAAGGATGGCACTTTCAATTTTGTCAAGAGGGAATGCTATAATTTAAAAATTATGCAAATGATTGAAGAGACGCTTGTCAACAGGGTTAGCATTATGTACTGGTACACAATTACAAAAGTACATATTTGCTGCAATATGTAGCCTAACAGATATAGGCCTAGCTGATTTACTTATGATGGATTGTGCAATGCGAATAAAGTGATAGTTCACCCAAAAATAAAAATTCTGTCATCATTTACTCACCCTCAAGTTATTCCAAACCTGTATGAGATTTTTTCTTTTGTTGAACACAAAAGATGATAGGCCTATTTTAAAGATTACCTGAACCTGACAGTTAACGGCACCAATGGGCTATACACGCATAAGTTCCGCATTTGACGTAAGGATGCTCGTCCATTTCCGGTTGTGGAGATTAAAGCGGAGGAAAACCGGAGAAAACGGGATTATGGCAGAGTCTTCAATATTTACTGTCCTCCCGTCTTTGAAACGAAACGTACATACGTTTAGATGTAATTTTATATATAGTTATGTTTATTTAATATAATTTTAAAAAGAAGCATAAACACAACGAGGGGTGTCTGTTTTATCTGTTTTTGTGACTAACGTTTCATTAGTATAACCATGGAGTATAAAATTCAATATAAATTCTCGGTATTGCATTGGACTCTATGATCGGCGGAAGTAATCGAGCATCCTTAATCCTTCACCGGAAATAACGCCGTGCATAGAGCCCATTGCCAGTTGTTGTTGTTTTTTTTTTTTTTTTTCCTACTATGGAAATCAATATGTGCAGTTAACTGCAATATTCTTTAAAATATCTTCTTTTGCGTTCAACAGAAGATAGAAACTCATACAGGTTTGGAACAATTTGGGGGTGAGTAACAAAAATATATCATTTTAGGGTAAACTAACCCTTTAATTTGACTTTGAAAGAAAACTTAAAACATGCACGAGTATAAACTTTATAGGCTACCACAAAGTTTAGAACAAACAGCAATTAAAGACACTTTTGAATTGGCTATATTGGTTAGCTGAGACATTTGACAAAGTTCAAATTGCATCCTAGTCAACAAAGTCAACAAATGAGTCCTAGTTTCAGCTCGGGGTATGAACTGTTTAATCATTTATCTCAACGTAAAATAAAGAGGAGGGGCCGTATATGAGGAACTGTAACACGACTCGAGCAGCCACAAGCCAACACCCATTAAAGTTGGCAACAAAACTCCCGAAACATTCCCGCTAATCTCCCCACATCCATTTAGAGTGACGGGTCTCGCGCATCTCGTTGAATCCAGCGCTTCAGGTAAGACACATTGAACAGAATTTTATAGAATTGAATAGAAAACGTGAAAACTTAAGCGCGTTGATGTCTCTTTCGGCTCTATAACGAAACTTTATAGACGTCAATTTTCTTATTTAATAGGCGAATAGAAAATCATGTTATGGAAATAAAAAAGCAGTAATCGTGAATTGAAGCTTGTAAAAGAAAGTGCTATCCTAACGTTTTTGCGAGAGCACTAACGCCCATAATTCCTGTCACGTGACTGTACAGCAGCTCCACATGATACTTCGATATGTGTCTTTCATTAAAATACAATGAGCTTTGCATTGCAAATAAATTACAACACATGTTTTACATATACATGACAATGACCTACTTCTGGTCTCACAGGAAAGAAAGAAAAAATCTAATATATTTCTTATCTAACAGTCTAATTCTTATTCTTATATGTCAAAAGTTAGAGTTTCTGTTTTAATTTCTTCAGAGGAATCATATTTAGTTGATAAATCTTACAACTGAGTCTGAGATGAGCTCTGCGCACTAATTTGCAGAATAGACTGAAAGATGCTGAGATCTTAAATACTGAAATATGTTGTAGATGTCAATGAATTCATCTCCAATAGTGTGAGTCAAAATCAAAAGAGGTTTCTGAATCATGTCAAAGTTGCACTGCAACTGTGTCAACATTGAATGTAAAGCACGTTGAATAAATTATTAAAAGATCATTTAATGATGCATTATATCATCATAAAGCCATGTTAGAATACAGTGAGGTGAAAATTGAAAGACTGCCAGCTGCTTCTGGGTTTTAAATGGGGTCTTTTGGGGTTTAAAAACAAAAACTTACAACAAAAGGTTGTACGTTGATTGTTTGAATGGGGAAACTGATACAGAGCAGAAGGCTGTTAATTACCGGTTGAGCCTCTTCTGTTTAATGAGCTGAATAGTAAAGTGGAAACCATTTTGCTTGAAGCATCCATAGTTATAATTTATTTAACAGTGTCATTAACCCTGTTATTAAGAGCTCAGTCCCCTTATTACCTTTCAAAACCCAAACAAACTGGGCTGGGTTTCCCATAAGCTTTGCAAGTCTAAGTAGATCTCAGTAACCACTGGCACAAGTGATCGATTTAGGATGCTTTGGGGAAATGCAATCTTGATTCCTTTTAATTATTCTAGCAAAAAGATAACAGAAAAAAAAAAACTTTTTTTTTTTTTTTTTTTTTTTTTTTTTTGCTTCATGAATGTTTGTGGATTTCAAAATCTTGGGGAATAACAAACCACTTTTGAATTTTGACAGTGTAAAAATGTATTTGTGTTTTATATGCAAAGTTGCTTAATGATTTTAATGCTGTTTTCATTAAAATTTTGTATTTCTTGCCTTTAGTGTTCTCATCTCTTCATCTCCAGACTGAAACTTTTCCTCCATCACAATGGCAGCGGTAAGAAAAATATTTTGAATGTAAATAGAGGTTTAAAATTTCTAAACTTAAATTGCACATCTACCATTATATTTCCCAAATAGTCCATTATAAAAATATACTGTTACCGTCATCTTGCTATTTACCATTTGTATAAGCACGTCTGACGTGTTTATTCATGCGCTAGCTAATTAAAAGGCAATTTAATTTATCACATATTTGTAGTAAAATAAAAGTTGCTTTGTCTCATTAATTCTCATTTTGCTTTGCCATTAAAAATTCTGAATCTTGTAAACCTTTTGATATAAAGGCTTCTGCTTAAATGTGTCAAATTAGTTTTGTAGACAAATAGTTATTGTGTACATTTTTTAAATAATGGAAAATAGTTCTGTGGAAAAACATCATGATAGAGAATGAGTACACTACTATTCAAAAGCTTGGGGTCATTTATAATGACATTTTATAATGTTACAAAACATTTCGATTTCAATCAAATGCTGTTCTTTTGAATTTTCTATTCATCTAAGGATCCTGAAAAAAAATGATTTCAACAAATATTAAGCAGAACGGTTTTCAACATTGACAATAATAAAAAAAATGTCTCTTGAGCAGCAAATTAGCATATTACACTTTGATATTTTAAGGATTGCATGACTCTGAAGACTTTAGTATAATGATGCTAAAAATTCAGCTTTCCATCACATGAATAAATTACAATTTGAAATATACTAAAACAGAAAACAGGGTAACACTTTATTTTACGACCCGCAAACAACTGTGTAAGTACGCTGAAATTACGGTGTACGTTTCTGTAATTATAGTGTACTTCCGTGTAGGTATAAGGGAACAATATGTTAAGTTTTGGGTAATAAAGGGGTAACAAGCACCACTTTAATTTACAGCCCGCAGGAGTTACACTTACCCAGTAACTACACAGAACAACGGGGTAACAAACGCACTTACTATGTAGCAATACGAAACAACACTATTTGCAAAAACAAACAAACAAACAAAAAAAAACGTTTTAATTACACAATATATTTGCCCTGACATTTAAGTGTCATTGCAATTCAATGGGATAAGGTAAGTAGTAGTACTAATTACCACATGGTACAGTATAAATTAAATCATAGCAAAAACAAATTATTTTGACTTAACATTAAGTCGCTAATCTAGTAAGAAATGCCAATAAATTTAATTTTTATCATAGTATATATATATATATATATGTGTGTGTGTGTGTGTGTGTGTGTGTGTGTGTTTAATTTTTAACCCACAGATGTCAAAATTACCCTGTAGCATTGCACAAGAACATATTTTGCCAGAAATGTGATATGTTTTATAAACAACAGACATACAATTTTTGCCTGGAATATATTAACAGAATAGGTACCTGTTATTTTTTAACTAAATAATTTGCTTGTATATCTGCTTGTTACCCCTTTATTACCCCACTTAATATATTGTTTGTTCCCTTACAACTACACGGAAGTACACTAAAATTACAGAAACGTACACTGTAATTTCAGTGTACTTACAAAGTTATTTGCAGGTTGTATATATCTGTTTGTTACCCCTTTATTACCCCAAACTTAACATAATTGTTCCCTTATACCTACACGGAAATTCATTATAATTACAGAAACGTACACCGTAATTTCAGTGTACTTACACAGTTGTTTGCGGGTCGTAAAATAAAGTGTTACCAAAAACAGTTATTTGAAATTGTAATACATTTTTATAAGCAATTGGATTTTTCTTTTACTATATATTTGATCAAATAGATGTTGCCTTGGTGAGCAGAAGGGACTTAAAAGCATTAAAAAAATCTTAGCGACCCTAAACTTTGTATGTCCAAGATTGAGAGATAGTCTAAAATAAATTTTTAACACATTTTTTCTTTGACACAATCTGATCTTAAAAATATGTGAGTTGTCAAGCAGCCCTGTGACAGGAACTCTAAATTAAGTGTCAGTTTACACTTCTCTGTGTAAAGTTGCTGTTGTATCTTCTTTTTGTAGTTGGGCAACCGTGGAACCGTGACTGAGGCATCAGGCTTCAAGCCAGAGGAAGATGCCCAGAAAATCTATGGTGCTATGAAAGGAGCTGGTAAGTGATCAGCCAAATCAGAACCGGACTTCGAGATGAGCATATTTACATGATCACATTTTCTGCTCATTTGAACAAAATGAAAATCATCCCTTTGCATTTTAAATGATGTCTAAGCATTAATTCCTCATATAACAGGAAAAAAATCTCTGGTATTTGTCCTGCACCCGAAAAGGTGTTTCCTCATCGGTTTAGACTAGAGCTTGGCATTATGATGAGAATGCTGCTTTCTAGTTTAATGGACATCAGCTGATTTTAGTGTGAGAAACATTACAAAACACCACTCACACTGTTATGGCGCTGTTATTCACAGAGTCGCTTGTTTGCCTAAAGTGAGTAATGAGAAACATGCAATTTGTATACTATAAATAACAGTGAACATATAATTCTGAAAGTGTCAAAAGTGGAAAAAAAGAAATATATCTTGCAGTTTTACAATCAAGCATGTGATATCTTGCCTGAGGCCTTAAGGCTAACGTGTAATCCGATACTCTAAACACAAATAAGCTTGTAATTCAGAAAATGTCAAAACTGTATGCAGAAATGAAAATTGTGCAATCACTTCCATAGAACATGAAAACAAAATGGGAAGTTCTCCAGAATAATAACAAAAAATAATATATATATATGTGTTTGTGTGTATATATACAGTCATGTGAAACCGAAAGGACACCCTATTCTATGGTCTAAACCATTCTATGGTTTTATGTATCAGGACGTAATAAAAAAATCATCTGGTCCTTGGAAGGTCTTAAAATTAATTGATTAAAACCTCAGATGAACAACAGCACATGACATATTACACCATGCCATTATTTATTTAACAAAAACTAGGCCAAAATGGAGAAGCCATGGTTGACAAACTAAGTACACCCTTACTGCTCCATAGGAATTAGGAGGGTAAGTAGCAGTCGGGCGCTGATAATCAAATGGCTTTAATTAACTGATCATCAGTAATTGTGATTACCTCTATAAAAGCAGAAGTTTTGGTAGTTTGCTGGTCTAGAGCATTCAGGTGTGTATTAACACAATGTCAAGGAGGAAAGACATCAGCAATAATCTTAGAGAAGCAATTGTTATTGCCGTCAATCTGGGAAGGGTTACACGGCCATTTCCAAACAATTCGAAGTCCATACAGCGGGGAACATTATTCACAAGTGGAAAACATTCAAGACAGTTCCCAATCTTCCCAGGAGTGGACGTCCCAGCAAATTCACCCCAAGGTGACCTCAGACTCTACAGGCCTCACTTAACATGTTAACTGTTAAAGTTCATAAAAATACAATTAGAAAAAGACAGGAGAAATATGGCTTGTTTGGAAGGGTTGCCAGGAGAAAGCTTCTTATCTCTAAAAAGAACATGGCAGCACGGCTGAGGTTTGCAAAGTTGCATCTGAACAAACCACAAGACCTCTGGAATGATGTTCTTCAGACAGACAAGACAAAAGTAAAGATGTTTTGCCATAATGCACAGTGCCACGTTTGGGCAAAAACCAAACACAGCATATCAGCACAAACAAACGGTCAAGCGCTGTGGTGGAGGGGTGATGATTTGGGCTTGTTTTGCAGCCACAGGACCTGGACCAGTTGACCATGAACTCCTATGTAAACCTAAGTAGTCAGGTGGGGCCATCTGTTCAACAGCTATAACTTGGACAATGATCCCAAGCACAGCTGAAAATCTACACCAGAAAAAGAATAGAAGCAAGGTGTTGCACTGGCCAAGTCTCTGAATTTTTGCAGAACTATGCCCCCTCTGGTGACAAGCAAAACTGCAGCCAGAGGTGTGCACGCTCATGGATCAGGACCACACGCACGCTTGCACAAGCAGTTCATAACCAAAGGAGCATCAGCCCTCAGCTGCACAAATCTTTTGTTACAGTCATAATGTCTTTAGAGGTAATAAAGTTATAAATCTGCAAGTCATTTTAAATATATGAAAGGAAAGGCATTTGAGTAAATTACACACTTATGTGTGAGGGGAAAACGGGGGTAGTAGAAAACTTCGGTTTTTGTTTCCATCTATCTCCATGTTGAACTGTTTTATGTGCTTACTGTATCCACTTATGATTGTATTATTATGAAAACATGTTCATGAACAATATAAGTTATTACTTTGTATAGGATCCCGTTTGAGCCCTAGAGCAGACCGGGGATCTCTTCATTTGGTGAAAGCCTTCCCGATGTTGACTCTCGACTTCCAAAGCCTGGCACAAGACACAAGTTTTATTTTCTTTTTCTTACGTGGAGTTCGCGTTGGGGTTTGGAATGAACTACAAGCCGGCCTCTTTGAATCCATCTTCTACTTTTGTCAAAAGTTGACTAAAGTTGTGTCGCTCGAGTTGTCTTTGCTGATCCGGAGAATGGCGGCGAATACACAAACCTGTCAGACATATAGGGTGACCACCTGCTAATAAGCCCAAGGGGGGACAAGGGGTATGCAAAGGGACAATGTAGGACACTGCTTGGCGCGGCGGTGCCCCCACCCCACGGGCAGACTCACTGATAGTGGTTTATCCATATCTAGAATTGTTACTATTGCCTTACTGTTTGTACATGAATAATTGTTAAAAAAAAAAAGCACATACCTAGCACATACATTAATAATGCCCTATTCCCTATAAACATGTGTAATTAATATATGCTCATGAATAGGCCAACCAATGTGTATTTTTTTCTAAATAAAGATGAATATTTTGAACATTCAATGAATTGACAGATGCACTTCCACTTCCGATTTACTTTAGCTATTTAATTCTATTTATTTTTTATTACAATTAATTCACGTTAAATCAATAAAAATATAAAACTATAGGATTAACAGGAATTATAGTTGCTCAACACCACAGGAACAGTTTTAAAAAAAGTAAAAAAAAAAGTCTAAACTCACAACTCCAGACGTTCACGGAACGAGAAGGTGCGCTGTCATGACAATGAAAAAGTTGACATCAAACTAGTCAGCAGGTCACGTGGGAGTGGCAACCAGTTTTGGGGAAGTTCACTTAATGAACTAGATCAAATTTCAGTTCACACATTTTAAAATGAACTAGTTCAGTTCAAAGTTTGCAAAGAGATGTAAGATTTTTCCCATCTTCACCGACCTCGTTATAAAATCCGTTTAAATTATCATACGACGCCTTTGTCTACGGCAGCCGCGGTGCGACACTGGTGTCTTGTGTTGCCAGATTGGGTGTTTTTTTCGCTACATATTGAGCCCTGTTTAGGGTGAGTTTTAGCCGGGTTTTCGCCTGGAAGGCTGTATAGAAATCTGGCACCCCATTAAACGAAGTTAAACTGAGAAAGCGTGCGTTCACAGACACCAGAATGAACGCGTTCACACGTTCATCAGGACAGGCAGTTAAACAATACGTTCAGTTCACCCAAAATATGAACAAGTTCATGAACGTGAACGTGTTCAGGCACAACGTTTGGCTGCCTGGGTCTCGAGGATATAGAGTGACCGACTTTTTTATTTTTTTTTTGAGCAAGCATTGATTATGCGTGACACGGTCTCAATTTGCGAGACGCATGAATTGGGCTTCAAACACTGTGCAGGACGGGTGGTCACCCTACAGACATAGCCAGGTGAGCGTGAACGCGCATGACGTCATGCCCAGTCTCAAATCCGTCCCGAATCCCTCTTATTTATTTTACTGTACAGGATTATAGAGGCAATCGCAGTGATCAGAGAAGGGCTCATTCAGCCCATCAGGCAATTGTTTAAGCATGTATGGGTTAGAAAAAACTGGTATTTTTAACATGAAATGTTGCGCAATGCACCTTTAAGAGAGCTGTGCATAAACGAATGCCCGCAAACCACAAAGTTTTTAAAAAGAGTGGACAAAGATTCATTGAGAAAATGATTACTTCAAGTTATTGCTGCTAAAGATTGCTCTACAAGCAATTGGATCAAAAGTTGTACTTGGTTTGTTACACATAATAAATACACACATTTGTTTCTCCATTTTTGGCTTTGACACGATGTAATATATCATGTGTTGTTGTTCATCTCTGGTTGTATTTACCTCATTTTAAGACCTGCTAACAACCAGATGATTTTTTTTATTATGCCCTGATATTTAAAACTCAGTTCAAAAGGGTGTCCTTTCTTTTTCATGACTGTATATATATCAAATATCAAATTGAAAATCACTTTAAAAATCACACTATCCATTATCAATGTGTTTTGGTGAAGATGAAAAAGGTGAAAAGGATGCAGTTATCCGCTTATGCTGATAGTCTCAAAATGGTTAAATAATTTAATTTTTGCATTAACTGTCTCTTGAAATGAACTACTTTCAGGAACCAACGAGGCAGCTATCATCGAGGTCATTGCTCATCGCACTATTGCACAAAGACAAAAAATCAAGGAAGCTTTCAAACAAAGCGTGGGAAAGGTAACATACTTTTTGTCTCATTAACAGCCATCATTCTCTCATTTCAATGCGTTTTATGCAGAATGTCACATAAACAAACAGGAAAACAGGTCTCTTCGCATCTGCTTGTCAGAGAAAGTGTTATCAATATATCTATGTTTTTTTAAGGAAACCATGCAGCTAACCTAGCTAGTTTTTTAAAATCTGAATGTTAGTGAGAAGAAGAAAAAAATCACTCTATTTGCTCGCTCTTTTAAAAGCATCTTGACTAAAATATGGAAGCTTGTTGTTGCTATCTTATCTTTGCGGAAGGTCCTAATGGCAGGGACGATGTGAGCAGCCATCAGTTTGTATTTACATTAAACACATGGTTTACGAGGCGATTAGATAACAGTGTTGACGTTTCTTGATGATTCTGTAGCCGGAATGAAGATAGACAAAGCAGAGTATGTGTCACTGATAACAGATGCTGTCGACTTCAATCATTAACTCTTCAGGTCAATAATATACACACTGAGGGAACAGAGAGTCCATGCAATTTACAAACGGTGTCTTTCAGGAGACATCCCTGCTTTATAACTGTTATCTAACCGACTATGTGGAATGCAGCTCTTTATTGTACTTCCTATCGATTAATCGGTAAACCCTCTGTAACTCCGTCAGTGAAAGTCACAGTCAGGGCTTGATGCGTTGATGTTATTGGAAACTTTGAGTGACTAGAGCGCTCTGTGTAGAGCAAGAAAGTGTGAGTCATTGTGGGGGAAGTTTTGGACAGTGTTCAGGATGGTCTCGTGGACTCGACATGCCTTCCCCACCCAGCTCCCTCTGGAGACTTACAGCAGATATTTCACTGCTGGTCTGCTGTCTCAACAAAACACCACTTCCCAACACCAATTCCATTTGTTTCTCTTTCCTTCTGGGATGTCATATTTGTAACCGTATGGCCTAAAGCATGAATGAATGTGTTTAAGAGGAAATATTCTAATTTTAAGGTTTTCAGCACTGAAATTTTTAAAAGCATGTGGTAAATAAGAGTATATTTGAACAGGAACTGCTTGACTGCTTGAAGTCCGAGCTCACTGGAAACTTTGAGGCGGTTGTGGTCGGCTTGATGATGCCCGGCCCGGTGTACGACGCATATGAGCTGAGAAACGCCATCAAGGTTAGTGAGGGTAGAGGGGGGAAGTGTACTGTGCTTTATTTCCAAAATCAGGGACCATTTTCTTTCTTTCTCTGTTTGGTTTGAAATATGTTGTTTGGTAAAATCATCTTGCTAACCATTTTGCATGGTTGTATGGGTTTTGGACATGTACCATCATTTAAAAATGCATTATTGTACTTCAAGGGATAGCATCACCCAAAAATAAAAATTAGCCCATGATTTACTCAGCTTAAAGTCATTGGTCTTCTTTTAGACTAATACAATCAGAGTTATATAAAAAAATGTCCTGGCTCTTCCAAGTTTTATATTGGGAGTCAATGGGTAAATATTTTTTTTAAGTCCATCAAAGCCCATCCATCCGTGATTAAAAACTTTATATACTAAAAGCCTATAATTCGAGGGTTACTATTTTGGCGTAAGTCGACTTGCGTGTTGTTTTAGTCGATACAGTTATTGGAAGATTTGGAAGTTATGGAAATATGGATATTTGTCTTACACTAACACATTGCTTCACTTCAGAAAGCCTTTTTTTTAACCCCCGCCCCTTTCCCACCCAGCCATCCATCCATCGACCCATTTATGACGGATGGATGCGCTTTGATGGACTTAAAAAAATATATAAAAATTATACCCATTGACTCCCATTATAAATCTTGGTAGAGCCATGACATTTTTTTTAATTCAACTCCTATTGTATTTGTCTATACCTTTAACATGTAAATTATGTGGTACACTGTATGCGTTCTAATTTACTATGAATAATACTACAAAAAATCATCAGTCTATTTTAAAATTTCACTTTTAATTAAATCTGTTATATGCAGTTCCATATTCAGTTTTTACTCAAAAAATTCACAAACAACTACAGATTAACAATTTTGTTCAATATTTTTTAAACACATAAATAAATAAAAAACTTATATAAGAATATTATATTGTTTTAAGCTATTTATCAAGTCACAAAAATCTGAATTCATCGCAATCTTGTTGACCATGGCATATATAATCTATAATGTACTGTATGTATATTTGGATACATATTATGCATGTATATTTATTATATATTAGAATATGTATTTATGTTTATAATATTATAATGAAATATAATCATACATTTCTATGCAGTTATATATTTTATATTGTTTTGTTATATTACATATTTATATTTTATTTATATTCATTTCTATATTATTTATATTTTCTTTTCATACAATAATATTTTATTTTATATTGTTTTAAGATATTGATGAAGTCACAAATATCAGAATTGATTGCAATCATGGAGACCTTCATATATATATAAAACATATAGCAATATAAAATAAAATATTTATTTATAAAATAAAACAAATTAATTAATATAATAAATAAAAATAAAACAATATAATACATAAATGCATAAAATAACTTTATATATTATTTTTTTATTAAAAGTCACAAAAATCTAAATTGATAGCAATCTTTCCACAAGATAATGATACTCAGTGTAACATTTTGGCCACGTTGTTTGGCAACATAACAGGGAAACACTTGACACATCATCTGACCTGTGGCAGAGTTATTAATGGTAATAGGCATAATATTACCATTATAAAAAACCTTCATCAGCAATATTCCAGATGAACTTATCCTGTGTATTGATGGCTTTAGGTGAATTCTTCATTTTCTTTTCTTCTCTTCCCTGTGTCCAGGGTGCTGGGACGGAGGAGGCTTGTCTTATTGACATACTGGCCTCAAGAACCAATTCCGAGGTTAAGGAAATCATTGCTACTTACAAGAGAGGTACATGCTAAGATTTATGGATGGAAACTGACAGTCTTTTCCATTATGAAATATATACTGTGAACATATATATTTCTTCCCATATTACACTATTTTCATTCACTTTTCTTACGTCATCACAGTGAATGACAAGAGTCTTGAAGATGATATCTGCGGAGACACATCTGGGATGTTCCAGAGGGTCTTGGTGTCTTTACTCTCGGTAAATAAACAAATTGCCTGTATTGTCTTTTTTGTGAAGAAGATTCTTTGATGCCTTCACTTATCTGCTCTTTTGTTTGCCATGTAAACCTTCACCGTCCACAGTGTCCGGCCGGGGCAGGCGTGACCCCTGATGGTTTGTCATGCTGGATTTATTGATATTGTCTTTTCTGCTTTGCTTACAGGCTGGCCGTGACGAGAGCACCAAGGTAGATGAAGCTCAGGCTGTCCAGGATGCAAAGGTGAAGATTTTGACGTGGTTGGCTGTAGCTTTTTGCCTAATGAGCATGTTCGATTTTTGTGGTTTAACAGGTTTTGCATAAATAGGGTAAATTGAGTTTAATTGGGACACTTTTTTCCATTGAGATGATGGGAAAAAGTGTCCCAATCAACCTGAATTCCTCATTTCGTGTTCATTAATTGTTTCGTTAACACATTTTTAGTCATATATATATATATATATATGTATATACACTGTATATTTATATATAAAATACAACTGATAAAACCCATAGTGTTAAAACCCGACATGAACAACAACCAGCAAGTAACCTCACAAGCCTTACAACTTTGTACGATGATTAGCTTATACAAATAACAGATTCATTAAGTCATGTGTTTGGCATGACTTAAATATCCGGGTCATAAGAGTTGTTTGTTTGGGATTCAGTCTATGTTGGTGGTAGCACTGTATGTTTTTGATTCACCAAAAGATTTGATTCATTAAATGAATTTGTTCGGATGGCACTGGTCGCGCTGATTCAGCAGCTGTGAAGTGTTCTTTTGCTGCCTTCCATTCCATAAAGTAAACACTTGCTTTGATATTTTATCTAACACAGTGACATAGTTATATTTTTTATGTGTGGCTGAGATGTGCAAATACTTCAAATGAATGGGGCTGCTCTATTCTCCATATTTACAATGATTCATGGCTTTGTTTCTGTATTGGCTACATTCAGTGAGCTGCTTTTTATTGTGTGTGGTTCAGCCTTAGACACACAACAGACATTCTCATGTTTATTAATCATTAACGGTTAAAAAGCAAATTGCTCAGGTAAAGTTCTCTATTGTTTATACAATAGGACATCTACGAGGCGGGCGAAGCTCGATGGGGAACAGACGAGGTCAAGTTCCTCACTGTGCTGTGTGTGAGAAACAGAAATCACTTACTCCGAGGTATCTGTGCCACCACGTAATAACAGCAATCCCCCTTGCCACTTATGTGATCGTTCTTATGTAACCTTCATAAAACATCATGGGAAAATAACCCTGGAACAATAAAGTAGACTCATTACTTCCACTCTGTGGTGACATTGTTGACATACTGTAGGCCTGCTTCTCATTCTGTCACATCTAATCAATTTAAATTATGTGCAGTACATTTTTATTTTACTAGTGTGTATGTATATATATATATATATATATATATATATATATATATAATTATGTGTATGTTTAATTTATTTCATTTCAGTGAAATAAAATGGTAAAATGATCCATTTATTTGCCAAGTATCATATTTTGCAAAATGACAAAAAAAATGTTAATTATGTGTTATATTAACTCATTATTTTATTTAAAAATGCTAAATGTTTATTACTATGATGGCTAGACGCAGGTCATTGAATTGAACATACAAAATTGTCCGGCCAGTACTATTGTTTGAAACCTTCATCACTGCATTATTGTTTCACACATACTTTCTTTACATACGCTGCAGTATTACATCCAACATTTTCTCAAGCCCTGTTCTTTTGCCAGTGTTTCAGGAGTATCAGAAGATTTCTGGACGGGACATTGAAGACAGCATTAAGAGAGAGATGTCCGGCTCCCTAGAGGATGTATTTCTGGCAATAGGTCAGTTGTGAGTATTGGAATATTTCTGTCATTTTTCTGGTTTGCCTACTTGGAAATAAAAAAGCGTCCGTTCACCTTTGCAGTGAAATGCATAAAAAACAAGCCGGCATTTTTCGCTGAAAGGCTCTACAAGTCAATGAAGGTAAATTAAAACACCAATTGATCTAATATTTGCACATGATAGGGGCATGGCTAGTGCTAAAGTAATCGTTTCTCTTGTTTCTCTTAGGGTTTAGGCACCACAGATAGCGTGCTGATCAGGATCATGGTGGCTCGCGCTGAGATCGATATGCTCGACATTAAAGCGGAGTTCCTGAAGATGTATGGAAAGACCCTTCACTCCTTTATAAAGGTGGGACACAGCTTTCACTGAGGACATTTGACTAATTTAACTCAAAAGCCATTTGAAGGGGTAGTTCACCCAAACATTTAAACTGTTATCATTTATTCACCTTCAAGTTGTTCCAAAACTGTATGAATTTCTTTGTTCTGCTGAAAACAAAAGAAGATATTTGAATGTTTGTAACCAAACAATTGATTGGCGCCATTAAATTCCATAGTATGAAAAATAAAATAAAAGTCAATGACACTTTTGAGTTCAACAGAAGAAAGAAATTGATTTTAGAAATTGAAAGAAAATGATTTTAGTTTTTGAGTCCCTTTAACAACATATATTGCAATTGCTTTAAAACAATCTGTGAGAAATGAAGCCAAACCAAACTTTAAATTTTAGCTAATTTTCCAGATACACACACACACACTAATGGCACTTTTCCACTGCTGATACAGCGCGGCACGGTTAGACTCACTTCGCTTTTCCTCTGCTTGGTCCGACTCGACTCAGCACGGCATGGCTCGGTTTGCTTTCTTCTGACCGTACTGACCGGAGTACTGACCAAATTAAGGTCTGACCGTTATAGTTTATCCGCTCCTTGGCAACCAACGAGAGGAAAGTCTGCACTTCGTCCACTGACCACGATTCAGCTATTTATTTTTTGGTAGTCTTCTTTTTCTTTTTTCTTCAAGCAAGTCAAGCAAGTAGTTTTAAAACAGGTGATTAAGCGGTGACTGTTAATGGCTATTTAAATCTAGCAGGTTTGATGTCTCGCAAATACAGTGATGCTGGTAGTGATGATTCTGTTTGACTCTGACCAATCAGTCATCTGCAGTGTGTTCACATCACATTTTAGTATCGGCAGGGTATGCTTGAAACCTCAACAGAGGTGGTACCATTCAAAAGCGAGCCGCACCGTACCGTACCATACAGTGGAAAAGCGCCACAAGTGAGCCGTACCGTACCATACAGTAGAAAAGCACCACAAGTGGCACCACCACAAGGGATGGTGATGATGCAGTGGACAAGACACATGCCTTTGGTGTGAGAGACCCGGGTTCGAATCCACTGTGAGACACCGATGTGTCCCTGAGCAAGACACTTAACCCCTAGTTGCTCCAGAGGCATGCAACCTCTGACATATATAGCAATTTTAAGTCGCTTTGGATTAAAGCGTCATCTAAATTAATAATGTAAGTGAGCCAAGCCGAGCCGTACCACACCATGGAAAAGCGGTATAAAATACTGTTTAACCCAGTGGTTTTCAATCTTTTCAATGCCACAGACCCTCAAATATGATCATGCTGATGTGAGGCCCCCCCCCCATCTTAAACATTTGGCAGCTACTGTACAAAATTATTATAATATAATAAAAAGTAAAAAATATATAAATATATTATAATGTAATAAAATATGATTTTGTTTATATAGTAATTTTATATTATTATGTTACATTATTATTATTTTTTTTTACAGTTTTTACACTGTTTTCTACAGACACAAGCACTCCACTGGTTTAACCCATGGTGAAACCCTGTTCTGTTTGTTTTCTAGGGGGACACATCAGGCGATTACCGTAAGATCCTGTTGGAGTTGTGCGGAGGGGAAAAGTAACACATCTGGCATGTTCATTAGTGTGAAACGCTCTCCCTCACGCCTGGCCACCGCATTTCAAACACATTCCTTGTTTGTAATACCAATTAAAAGCAAACAGTGACGTTCTAAATGAGATTTGTGATTTTTTTTTATTTTTTTTATTGCCTTAGAATTTATGGGAGCCCTTTATAGATTGGCACATCTTAGAGTTTGTCAAATAAATAAAGCGAGAAAAGAACAGCCCATATTGACTGTATTGATCTTTTGTTGTCTTCTGGATATTTGTTTAATCTCAGCACGCTCATTGAGGTCCATTTGCTTAATTATTCAGAGTATAATTTGTTTAATGTACAACATCTTTGTGTACTCGTCCCAATCATACTGATTGCTCATGGTTGCTTGCATCGGCATATGAGATTTCATAAGAAACTATTTTCTAGAAGTCTCACATGCCTCAATTTCATCAAGTGCAGCGTATGAATCACATGAGGCTTGGTAGAATTATGGGGAAATTACTGACAAAAAGCAGTGTATTTACACTTTTACCACTAAGTGGCACTGTGCACAAAATATTACAATCTCTGTAGTTTATTTTTGGACATATTTAAATACAGTTTTAAAAAAACATTTGTTCTTTTTCTAGCAATACACACTAAATGCTGACATAAAAAAAAAACTGAATGACTTGAAAATAAGTGTTGTTTTGTTTTATTTATTTATTTATTTAAATCCTTTTTCTTTGTAGTTTGGTCATTAAAAAATAATGAAATTATTAAAGTTAACTAAAACTAAAAATATAAATTGTTACTTAACTGACCAACTTAATTTATTTCAACTAGTTGCCAAGGCATTATTTCTTATTTTCATTTAGTGTAGCTTATTGCACTGAAGTCAAGTCAAATATATTTATATAGCGCTTTTCACAATACAGATTGTATCAAAGCTGCTTCACAGTATCACTCAAAACAACTTAACAGTGTTTGTTTATTACTGGAAAAAAGACATCCAAGTTTGGTAGAGCTGATCAATGGTATGATGGGTCATTTAATTTGAATATCCCCAACTGAGCAAGCCAAAGGCAACAGAACTGAAAAACTCCATCAAGTGACCCGATGGTGTCCTAAAACTCCATCAGATGACCCAATGGAGAAAAAAAACAAAACCTTGGGAGAACCCAGGCTTAGTCGGGGGCCAGTTCTCCTCTGTCATTTATGAGCTTGAGGCCAAATTTAAAGTAACTAAAAATGAAAGAGTCATTATAAAAAACTAATAAAACTTACATAAACAGAACAAAATTACTAAACCTTTAACTAAAATAAAAATCATAAATATGAATAAAAAAAATAATAGTATCTCAATGATACTAAAATAACACTGTTTGAATATTTGTTATTTTTCCAGCAATAAATACTAAACCAAAAATGTCAATTTAATGACTTTTATTTGTTAGTTTGTTTATCCTTTTTTTCTTGATTTTTTTTTTAGTTTGGTCATTTAAAATAATTACTTGAAAAGTACTCGAAACAAGTTAATTTAAAATGTTTAAACTTATGACAAACTTATGCACCCAGCCCTGTTGTATTTAAATATTCCTGTTAAGACCAATTTATTTGAAACAAATTCATAGAAAGTGCCTGATACAGACAGATAATGGCAGCCATGATGCCAGCAAACAAGTGTGTGTGTGTGTGTGTGTGTGTGTGTGCGTGTGCGTGTGCGTGTGCGTGTGCGTGTGTGTGTGTGTGTGTGTGTGTGTGTGTGTGATGAAAAAGCTATCCTGGGCTAATGATGGCCCACAGCATAAATACATCTCTATTTTCCCCAAGATTTAGTAGTGAATTTGGAATAATTTCAGATTTTTTTTAAAGTTGCACTGTAAAAAATATTGATGGTTTAACTTAAAAAAGTAAGTAACCTGGTTGCCTTAAAATTTTAAGTTCATTGAACTGGAAAAAGTGAGTTAATACAATGAAGGAGAATGATTTAATAATCAGAAACTCAAAATTTTATGTTATCTGAACTAAATTAATTATTTAAGTTGATTTGACAAAAGAAAAAATGTTGTGATTACACTGTAAAAAAAATATTGTTGGTTTAACTTAAAAAAGTAAGTAACCTGGGTTGCCTTAAAATTTTAAGTTGATTGAACTGGAAAAAGTGAGTTAAAACAATGAAGGAGATTGATTTAATCATCAGAAACTCAGAAAGAAGAAATAATCATCAGAAAGAAGTTATCTCAACTAAATAAATTATTATAAAATTATTATCTAAATTATTATAAAAATATTTTTTTTACAGTGTACTTTTTTTATCGTTATTATTGGAGAACCAGAGTAACCCAGAGAAATAAACACACTCCGTGTGTGTGTGTGTGTGTGTGTGTGTGTGTGTGTGTGTGTGTGTGTGTGTGTGTGTGTGTGTGTGTGTGTGTGTGTGTGTGTGTGTTTGAAATTGCGAGCGGCAAATTTCCCCTGAGGCCAGAATGTCAAGCTAGTGCGCTGCACAGATCTTTAACATGTTCCCAAGTCAGTTTTCTGTACTGAGAAATTAAGACGGTTTCGGTAGCCTTATTAACATGGACATCCCGAAAAACCATATGCCATTCTGTGATATTTAATTTTCCCATAAACCCGCTTTAATAAACAATCTGTCAAAATGTAAATCAAAAATGTTGTGAAACTCAGTCAGAACTGCCAGAGGGCAGAAGCATATGAATGATGGGTAATCTGTCTGACAAACAGAGCTGCATGACCATCTATATACGCTGTGAATCTAGAGTAGGCTAAACAAAACTTAAACTTAAGTACGATGCAACAACACAGGAAACAAGCAGCGTTCTGTAACAAAGTTTAAAGAGAGGAACAGCTTTATGTTGTTGGTTGATTCAAGAGTAATAAAACCTAAAAATGATATTATCAATAAGTTATGACAACATTTTTTTACATTGCCTTAACTCATCAAAATAAGGCAGGCCATTTTCAACTTTTTATGCATTATATAAACTCATTTTTTAAGTCAGTTTAATGTAATTTAAGTTGAAATGACTTTTAGGCAGCCTTTTTTTTACAGTGACTATATCAGAAATGCATAATTGCTATCTTATTTGACCTAATTATTTAAAGAACAATGACATTTTTGAAAGAAATGCTCATTCACCATGCCTTTACAGCAGTTCTTCTGTAAAGGCCATTCTGCCACAGGAAGTTGACAATACGGTGCCTGCCACAAACCACACTGCATCCTTCTGAACATAGTGTTCACATATGTTGGCGTGGGAAGGTGCGCGGAGCAAGAGTGAACGGTAGAAGATAAGAGTTTAAAAGTGGGGTAACTTCTCATCAAGCATAAATTAATCAAGATAATGTGAGAGAAGAAGTTCTTTTCTGGGTAAGCTGGCTGAAATTGCTTTATTACTTTATCAGTTGGTTTCATTTCAACACGGAAATATTTGAAATAGATATGTAGTAGCAGCTTTGCTTTGGTGTAAATATGATGCATAAAATGCAGAGTCAGGAGGAGGTAGTCTTAATAAGCTGGCTGAAATTGCTTTGTTACTTTATAAAGGCATCAAACTTTCCACATCAGTAAGTGTCATTTCAGCAGGTAAGTATGTTTTTGATATAAGTAAACAGCAGCAGCTTTGAAGTTATATTTCATAAAATGCAGATTAGTGCATAAATAATTAAATAATGAAATTAGCACAAATAATACATTATGGTCAGGAGGATATGTGATCATCCCAAATGACCAGTCTGAAATTGCTTTATTACTTCATAATACTTTCCACATCGGCCGGTTTCATTGCAGCAAATTTTGCAGCTTTGTTTTTGTGACCTTATAGGCTACTGCATAAAATGCAGAGTAGTGCATTAACAATAAGTGACATCAACAATAATGAAATTCGCACTAAATATAATACAATAAAATCAATAAAAAGTAAAAAAATATGGCATAAATAATGCATTATGGGTTATGTGATCATCTCAAATGACAAGAAGTCTGGGTAAGCTAGCTGAAATTGCTTTATTACTTCATAAAGCATCAAACTTTCCATGCCGGTCTGTTTCATTTCAGCACATAACTACGTATTTTGAAATAAGATGCTGCTGTGTTATATTTCATAAACTTCAAAGTAGCACATGAAAAATATTATGACACAAATAATGCATTATAGGTCAGAAGGAGGGTCAAGAAGGCTCTCAAAGCTATATGTTAACAAACAGTTCTCCTACCCAGCGAATGCTCCTCCTCCTTGTGCATGAAGACAAATAGTCTTGCCCAGCGACTTAACTTACTTCTGGGAGTTTCCACACAATTATCTCTCATCTTTTTAAAGCCTATGAACTTTCGAAAATGAGCAAGCTGTTGATATCTCCATCTCGATGGTGAAAACGTTCCGTCGTTGTTCTTAAATGTGAATCTGTTTCTTGCAGGACATTAATCCACCACGCAAAGGAAGACAGAATTTTTTTTATAGTTGCATTTTGGGATTGACCAATCCATTGTCTCTTTTTCACTGAAAGCGTCCTCTCAGGATGAACGTCACCAATTCCAGCCTGGTTCCCTTGCTAGTTCTTCCTCTGGCGCTGGTCATCTTCCTAACGGTGACGGGGAACCTGCTGGTCATCCTGGCTATTGCTTGCACCTCTCAGCTCCACACAACCACCAATGTCTTCATCATCTCCATGGCCTTTGCAGATCTCATCATGGGCTGTGTGGTCCAGCCCTTGGGCTTGAGCATGGTGGTTAGCGGGAAGTGGCTGTTGGGCAAAAAGGCTTGCGACCTGTGGACGTCCGTGGATGTGCTGTGCGTCACGGCCAGCATCGAGACGTTGTGCGCCATCGCCGTTGAGCGTTATGTTGCGGTCACAAGACCCCTCGAGCATCAGATCCTCCTGGGCAAGCGCAGAGCCGTCTACATCGTATGCATAGTGTGGATGGTGTCGTCCCTGGTTTCCTTCGTGCCAATCATGAACCATTATTCTCATGCAAATGCCACCGTTTCGGAAGACTGTTACAATAACGAAGAGTGCTGTGATTTCCATACTAACGAGGTCTATGCCATCTTCTCCTCAGTGGTGTCATTCTATGTGCCCCTCGTGATTATGGTGTTTTTGTACGGGAAGGTGTTTGCCATCGCGACCAGACAGCTGAAACTCATCGAAAAAGACAGACTGCGCTTTCCGAGCACAGGCATGGAAGATGCTAGTGAAAGTACAGTTTCTGCAAGCAAAACAGCTGGTGGTTATAGGAGGAAGTCGACGAGGCATTATGTAAAAGAACACAAGGCGCTCAAAACACTAGGGATTATTATGGGCACCTTCATTTTGTGTTGGCTGCCCTTCTTCTTGTTCAATATCATCAAGGTCTTTAATCCCAGTGTGCTGTCACCTTTCGTGTTGCTCTTGTTGAACTGGCTCGGCTACACCAATTCAGGCCTGAATCCAATCATCTACTGCCACAGTCCCGAGTACCGTAATGCCTTCCTGAATCTTCTAGGGTGCAAAAAACTGGCTAAGAGGCTAAATCACGACTCCAGCAAACATCTACAGAGCCTCACCTCATACATCCACAACAACAGTTCTGTAAGGATGGATTGCTTGGGTCACATAGATCCGACTGCAGAGGGTGGGAACATGTGCTCTGACACGTGTGCAGTTCTTGAAGTGCAAGAGCCTCTCAATGACTAAAATGTGGCATGGATCAATGTAGAAGAGACTTAAGGGTAAGGTAAGAGTGAAAAAACTCAAAGTATTAAATGTGCCTCTTGAACCTCTTGAATGAATCCGTTCAAGATGGTGAGGTGGGATGTGCTAATACTTATCTAAGTGACTGGATCTTCACTTTGAGGATGGTCAAATGGCTGGGGAAAAAAATCCCATTAACATTTAAAACACCAAGAATCCCTAGAAACTGCATAAAAACATGCTAGAACTACTCAGAACACTTCATACCAATTTCTGGCTAGCATTCACAATACCCAAGCATTACGGCATTGAGTTATGAAGCAGCACTCACATTATCTTCTGATATTCTACACATTTACTGATGCAAAAGATATGATCCCCCAGCTATTTATTCTTTTTTTACAGTGTGATATAAAACATGATATTAAAAATAAAATTATAAAATTATATATTAAAAAACTGTGGCAAGGATTAAAATATGATCTGGAAAATATTATGATTAATAATAAATAATTCACAATAATTTCACAATAGAGCATACATTTATGGATTTGGTTTAGTTCAGTAAACTAAGTAATAAAGTAAAAGTAAAGAATGATCGGTAACACTTTATTAGGTAACACTTTATTTTACAGTGTCCTTGTGACATATGTTACATGTACTTACCCTAATCCTACCCTAACCCTATAGTACATGTAGTTAATTGTTATTATTCAGTACTTAAATATATAATTGCACTGTAACAATAACATGTTAAAATAAGGTGTAAGTACTTCATACTGACCATGCATAATTATAATAACAGAAAATTATGCATAGTTACAAATAACTAACCCTAAACCTAACCGCAACTCTACTTTCTACTTTAATTACAATTACTCAGTGCTTATTTGAGCAAGTACAATAAAGTACAATTAAATGACCTTACAATAAAGGGTAACTGAATGAACTCTAACAATCAAGCTTATCTTTGAAAAAGCCACATATGAGACATTCTCACGTAAACTGTACCATTTCCATGTGGGTGGTGATTGTGGTTTGTCAACTTATCACTTTCACATTTGTTTGAAAACATTTCAGGGTTTCACTGAACTTCCTCTTTGATAAATGGAATGCACAGAACAAAATAACTAACATCTCTAACTCAAGCTAAAAAGACAAGTGTACTCAAAAGTGAACTTAAAAAATATTATGGTCGTCAGAGGAGATGGCCTCGAGGGCAACATGAGTTGGGGATTTTTACCTCTCTCTACCACTTCACTTCCAGTCAGTTTTCTTCATATCTCAATAAAGGCAAAAAAAAAAAAAAAAAAAAAAAAAAAAAAAAAACACCAGAAACACCAATAAAAACTTTTTTTTTTTATGGTCATATTAAATACATTCTGACATGTGCAAAAAATATCAATACAATTTGCTGACAAAACAAACAAGCACCCACACAAAAAGTTTTTTTTTTTTTTTTTTTTTTTTTTGTGGCAATGCTTCTCAGAATTATATGGGTCACAGCTTGCCACAATGTTTCCATGTACCATTATCCTGGATATGGCATATGACGGTGATGATTACACAAATTAGGACATAAATGTATACCTCTTCCTCTCCAAAAAAGAACCAGAGAAGCAGCCTTGATTTGTCCCACAATGCATTTCATTGCAATCTTGATAGATGTGAAAAGCACTCAGCAAGATTAAACCTCTCATCCTTTACCTCTTATCTTTTAAAACACTCTGGGTGATATCAGACCCTCAAAACTGATTAGAACAACACAATTCAAGATGTTTCTGAAGTGGCTGAAATGATTTGGCAGAGACATTTGTGGGTGTGTGTGTGTGTGTGTGTGAATACTTGGGTGGATCTTAAGTGTTCATGACCTCATTAATGTGAGATAATAATAGGAGACAAGAAGTAGTGCTGTGACTGTTTCATGATGCTGGAAAAGGCCTTGAGTGCTTACGTGATGAGCTCATATGCGTTGTATTTTAATCTTTTGTGCATAAGCTTCGTTTTTTATTCATCATTTCAAAATAAAGGGCTTAACACGCCAACCTTAGGAGTATGAAAATAATCTTGTTGCAAATTGATAGATTACGGCTCTTCTGTATTTTATTTTGAACATCACTCACCAAATATGAAAACTACAGATTGTGATTGTAACCTTTCAAATGATATATTTTGTCAATATTAGTTGTATAGTTAGTGTAGGAAATTACTGTTTTAAGTAAGTAATGGTTCTGGGGGTCGGTGACACTCAAGGTTAAATATTAGGAAAAAAAAGATGGTAATGATAATGTAAGTATATGATTTTTCGCTTTTTTTTTTCAACAAGCCATGCCTTTCAGTCATGATTTTATAAATATAATTGTCTGTAGTACAATGGGTGAGTTGTGCACCAAAATGAAATAATTAAAGTTTGGGAATGAGCAATAGCAAGCACAACTAATAAATTATTAATATAATCAAAGAACTAAGTAAAGAGGACAGTACAGACAGCAGAATCTGGCATAATATTTCTGGTCTAGAGCAGAATTATGATTCAGTTTGTGGTTGTTTTAATCAACAACATATATTTATACCATAGGGGATTAGACACTAGTGTACGTGAATCACATGTACTTTATGGGGATTGAAAAGAACACTTTTGAGATACTGCAGACACAAACACATCTGAGAAACATTTCAGCATAATCCAAAAGATGTCACAAAAGACGTGTGTTGATAGAAGCCTGCATATTGTGCGTAAACAATCCACATATAAGTACCAGGACACACAGAAACATACGCACTACTCTCTTACAGATCAAATGTCTAATGAATTCATGATTATTTTCCTCCCACAGGCACATTGAAGATTGGAAACAGATCCTATTTGCTCTTCAAGGGAATCAACTGTACTCTAACGTCACGCTGTTCAAGTGGAGCCCGACTGTGTGAAGGCAAAATAGACCAATTTTCATAGTAAAGAGCAAGAAAGCATAAACAAAATATATACATATATATATATATATATATATATATATATATATATTGAGAACAAATAGTTACATGAAAGAATCACGCAGAGAGTTATTTTTGATTAAACTTCTGATTAAAAGTTGAAGTCCTAAAATGCCATCTCTCTTCACGTTACAAACCATCAGAAAAACAAATTTGTTGTGCATATGGACACGACACAGTTTTTTTTTTTTTTTTTTTTGGATCAATTGGCCCTTCAGAGATGAATTTGAATGAAAACTGCTCAGGGTCCAAAACATGAGTAAAGACCGCCATTGGTTATTAAATTAAAGAGTCGCTTGCCCATTGGTCCAAAAATAGGAACATGAATGAGCACATCACACAAGCATGTGCTGCCAGTGCCATATAGTTAGTTTCAATATTTGTCGTCTTCCTTTTAAACAGCACTGAAAATGGTGCTGAAGACACATTTCCAACCTCAGCGCAAAAATTACCATTGGAAAAGAATGATTGGAATTATTCTTTTTGCCATTTGTCTGATTTCAATAGCCCAGATAAATGCAGTGTGAAAGCTTTTGTCAAATATGCAACCACGGCCAAACAAATCATGACAATTGAATAGTTGCATGTCTGAGTGTTTGGTTTGGGATATTGGTGTTTTGATCAAATGTGAATATGCACATGGCATCAGTGGTTGGTGTTGAGGACAAACTTCTATTCATCTTCTGATCAGAGCACCACGAGTCGCTTTTTCTTGCTTCTTTGATCCTGATCCACAAAAAACCTTGTACAGAAATTTGAAGCAGAATGAATGAATGCATGCACTTTATAATATATTTACAAAAATCTATTTATTGAAAGTCTTCACGTGGAGTGTTTTTCATGCAGCAATCTCGAAGAGCTACGTGGAAATATTTGATTTTCGAATAACAAGCTGTTTCTTCACATGTTTTTATCAATTCAAATCAGTGGCATCACGGGGGAAATGAGTCATTTTAATTGAGTCTGTTCTTTCTGCTTGTCATTGTCTTGTGGAAAACATCAAATGCATTAGTTTTATAAAGCTCAACTCCACAACTATTCAAATGGTGGAAGAATTGTAATTAACTGCAATCTCACAAAAGGTCAGAGCATCATTTGCAACTTCTGTTTTAGTCTTTTCCTTGGCTGTTGTTCCGACACAGCAGTCTGAATTGAGAATCCTGAGGTTTTATTTCAAAATGAGATGCAAAAATCTGTCATTCTGAAGGTGAATGCGAGCTTGATCCCATTGACAATCACCTTAATGTAATTAATACAAGAACCTTAATATAAGAAAACAACGTTTTTTTTCTGAATAATAATTTTTACCTTCTGTGGGTTTATGCGAGCCCGTTCACATCCCAAAGCGCCATATAGGACGCTTTTGCAAAAGCGTAAATATCCAACGCACATGGCACCCTTAAACGTCTAATGAGACGCTTCGGTTAATGGTTAAGTTTAGGTATGGTGTTGGGTAAGGGTTAGACCACTAGGGGGCGCCTTCTGCCCAAATATATCTGCGTCTCATTAGACGTTTAAGGGTGCCATGTGCGTTGGATATTTACGCTTTTGCAAAAGCGTCCTATATTGCGCTTTGGGATTAGAACGCGTTGTTTATGCACAGCCGGCTAGTTTGCTAATGTCATAAAAAAACACCTGCCAGAGGAACAATATTCATATTATTTCTGCATGCACTGTAAGTATACTGCTTGCAATATAGGGATTTTCTTTATGTAAAATATGCTTAACAACTGATCAAAATATAATATCCCACAATGTGTGCATTAAAAGGCTTTCCATTTTATGTGTTATGAATGAACTGGAAGTAAAATCTGCCGTGTTTTTTACATCTTTTGTTTAACTTATTAAATTGATTTGATTGATTTTTCTTTGCTGATTATTTTTATTTCTGATTAAAATGCAAAATAACTGTAAAAATAAAATAAAATGATTTAGAAGAACTATACAATATAGAAAGGTAATGTTTCACATACTTTTGTATTTATTATTGGTAGGCAGCTGTTCTTCAGCAGAAATCAATATGATATTCCATTCTCATCAAAGTGTACATGAGAAGAAACACAATGACAACTGCAACTGTGAAAAAATTACCATGACTTTATACGAACTGTCCTGAATTGATTTGTCATGCTCATGCATAATAAAGTTTACATCCCTGAAATTTCAAAGCAATGGTTTATTACGAATGCACTCTAAGAATGCCAAATATATAGTTTTAGCATTAATCATAAGCTATCATATGATACCCTTCCAGCATCACAGTACCCGACATGAAATAGGCCAATGGTTGAATCACAAGAAAATATAAACAGCATTATAAATAGCATCAGCTTTCAAATCTTGCAGAGACCATTAGGATTGGCACTGAGCAGTTGCAGCAACTTAACAGAGGGAATAAGGTCAAGAATTTAGAAAACACACTTTTGCCAACCTGCTTATTGTAAGATAGTAGACCTGCTATTTACATTACAAACACACTATTTAACAATAGCTCAACTTTTTAAATACACACTGATAAAAATGATTCTGTGGTGAAGTAAATACTAAAATAAATTTTACATTAAATTCCCATCATGTTTGCATCACAAATTTGTTGCATGTTTCATCACAAATTTGCGTGAAAACTTGCAGAAAAAAAATGTACATTTTAGTTATTGTTTTTTTCAGTACATATAGCTATGATGAAATATGAGGTTTAATGAACACGAAATGTGAGGTCGATAAATTAATTTATACTTAATGTAAGATTCAGGGGTGATTCTAGGATTTTCCTAGTTTATTCTAGGATTTTTTCTAGGATTTTAATATTTATTGTTGTATTTTCAGTTTTACAGACAAATAAGCAGTACAATCACAGGACGGGACCAAATACAACTGCAGTACACGTATAAAAAACACCATCAACAACAACAAAAACTCCTTCAGTTAGATTGAGGTTTGCAGTTACCCATAACAAGCATAGGCAAAGGAGGTCAAAACTGATTTTTGCCCAACGTGACATTATGGATAAGGTGAAATTGTACAAATGGACCAAATGAGATATATAAAATACGTAATGCCATTAACAAACTACCTTCAAACTCTAAAGCAGCTTTCCCATTTATTTCATTATGATTATAGATGCACAACATGTAAAAGGCATGAAACCCTTTTAGAGTGTTTGCTTCCTAAGTTAGGCTATTTCACAGACACACTTGGTCTGAGCTGAAATGATGTTTAAAAAATATTGAAAGAGAAGCCTGTCTCTCTTTCTCTCATCACTTTAGTTAGGCCAAGCCTAATGTTTGCTTTAGAGAGGAAAAAGCTTTTTGAAAATTACTCTCGATTCCAGTAAAATGTATAGGCCAGGCATAAAAGCCTGTACAAAGCACAGGCGTGATTGCTCATGAGAAGCAGCTTCGTGGTTCAGCACAATGCTTCCTCATCAGAGTAGAGCCCTGCTCTCTTCATCACTGATTCAATCTCCTGGTGCAACAGCACAGCACTCGCACAATACACTGCACTCAGTCAGTATATGATATATATCAGGGCTCGACATTAACACATGTCCGGGACAAGTTTTTGAAGAGGCAAGTGACCAGACAACTATGCATCGAAATGCAAGAATGATTCTGATTTTACTATATTCAGAGAGCCCTGCACAGTTGTGGTCAGAATTATTGGTACCCCTGGTAAATATGATCAAAGCTGTAAAAATGAATCTGCATTGTTTATCCTTTTTATCTTTCAATTGAAAAATCCCAACCTTTCACTGCAGTTTTTTCCGAAACAGGTTGGCCGTAATTATTGGCACCCTTTTATTAAATACTTTTTGCAACCTCCTTTTGCCAAGATAACAACACTTATAGGTTTCTCCTATAATGCCTGATTAGTACTTTGGAGAACACCTGACAAGTGATCAGAGACCATTCCTCCATACAGACTCTCTCCAGATCCTGCAGATTTCCAGATTCTCTTCAGTTCAGCCCACTCATTTTCTATAGGGTTCAGGTCAGGGGACTGGGGCAGCCATGGCAGAAGCTTCATTTTGTGATAAGTGACACATATTTGTGTTGATTTTGATGTGTCTTATGGATTGTTGTCCTGCTGGAAGCTCCACGGCCCATAATAAGATTTCTTGAAGAAGGTGTTAGGTTTTAATTTTTTATCTGTTGGTATTTACTAGAATCCATGTTACTATGTATCTGAACAAGATGTCCAGGACCTCCAGCAAAAAAAAGGTGATATTGTTACAGTGTCTGGTTTATGTTCCCTGGTGTCCACTAGAGGTCCTCCTTCCACACGGTGTCATTCACTTCCCCACAATCCTTGTCTGCGCTCATCAATGTTCATTGCACTCAGCTGTTCCCCATCATGATTGTCATGTTCTGTGTGTATATATACCCTGCCTATTTAGTGTTTGTTACGGAGTTGTTGTTATTCGTCACACCACACCTGTGTCCTCTGTCCTTGCCAGTTTTGTTCTGGTTCTCGTGTATGGGCTGCTTATATGGATTTTGACCCATGCCTGGACTGTTGTGAGTACGGATTACCCTACAAATAAATACTGAGATTGGATCCTTGTTTCCTGTGTGTGGTATTGTGACAGAACAACTCCGTCATGAATGGATCCAGCAGTACGGGGCCTTCGAAAACTTTATTTTATTATTTCGCCATGGCTGCTCGCAGGACTGAGGAGACCATGGCAGCCAACCGTCAGGTTGGAGAGGTGGAAGGCCCCATCTTACCACCTCATCACCAAAGAAGGAGAAGGAGGAGGAGGTCAGCGTCCACCTTCCCTAAAGACCCAGAGGCCGTCCCCAAGTAGCCCGCTGTCATTCCGGAGGCCGTACCAGAGACTGTTCACATCATGTCTGCCGATCCAGAGACTGCTCGCGTCACGTCTGCCCAGCCAGAGACTGCTCACGTCACGTCTGCTGAGCCAGAGACTGTTCACGTCCCGTCTGCCCAGTCAGAGACGGTTCACTTCACGTCTGCCCAGCCAGAGACTGTTCATGTCAAGTCTGCCGATCCAGAGACTGTTGACATCCCGTCTGCCCGGCCAGAGACTGTTGACGTCCCATCTGCCCAGTCAGAGACTGTTCTCGTCCCGTCTGCCCAGCCAGAAACGGCTCACGTCACGTCTGCCCAGCCAGAGACGGCTCACGTCACGTCTGCCCAGCCAGAGACGGCTCACGTCACGTCCCGTCTGCCCAGCCAGAGACTGTTCACGTCACTTCTGCCCAGTCAGAGATGGTTCACTTCACGTCTGCCCAGCCAGAGACTGTTCACGTCCCGTCTGCCCAGCCAGAGATGGCTCACGTCCCGTCTGCCCAGCCAGAGACGGCTCACGTCACGTCTGCCCAGCCAGAGACTGTTCACGTCACGTTTGCCCAGTCAGAGACGGCTCACGTCACGTCTGCCCAGTCAGAGAAGGTTCACGTCATGTCTGCCCAGCCAGAGACAGATCAGGAGATGCCCATCCTTGGGGCCACAGAGGCACTGTCCGACTATTTAGAGCAGCTTGGCTCGGATCCTGGAGAGACCCTTCAGGCCTTTCGTGTCCGTGGTTCCTGAGCCGGAGCCACCTGTTCCTGAGCCGGTGTCTGTTCCTAAGCCGGTGTCTGTTCCTAAGCCTCCCTCCACTCTGGCCACCTGCACGACCTGCGTCCCCCTGGCCCGAAGGGTCTTCACCACCCTGGCCGCCTGAAGGGTCTTCACCCTGCAGGAACTAACTACATTCCCCACAATCCTTGTCTGCACTCATCACCGTTCATTGCACTCAGCTGTTCCCCATCATGATTGTCATGTTCTGTGTGTATATATACCCTGCCTTTTATTGTTTGTTGCGGAGTTGTTATTATTCGTCACACCACTTCTCTGTCCTGTGTTCTTTACCGGTTTTGTTCTGGTTCTCGTGCATGGACTGCTTATATGGATTCTGACCCTTGCCTGGACTGTTGTGAGTACGGATTACCCTACAAATAAATACTGCGATTGGATCCTTGTTTTCTCTGTGTGGTATCATGACAGCTATATGTATTTTTTAACGGCCTCTATTGGTGATGTTTCAGATTGCAACCAATTTTTACAAGAGCACTCATGCTCTTGCCTGTGCTCGAACACAAGAGCGAGCACTCATGGTACACCGCCACACTGAGACTTTCAACACACCAGAGAAAGCATCACACAACATGCTGGAAACTCATGTAAACTCCCACTGCAATGTTACAATAATATGCTACTTTTATCAGCTTGACGTAGAACTAATGCTCCATGCTCTTACCATGATAACGTTACATTTGTGGTGTTATCTAGCCTAAGGCATCTCACAACTATTTGTGTATCTTTCACAATCAGCAATGTCAACATAGGTGAATGTATAATATGATAACGAAAACGGTTAGTGAACTAGACCAGCC